TTCATCTGCTGTGTATGCATTTTGGCAAGATAAAATATAATAATTGCCTAACTAATTATAACGTATGTTATGATTTAAAAAATCAGAATACTAAGATGAATTACACAAGTTTTGACATGCAACGCATTAAATATGTTGCTCCTGATAATAAAGAGAAAAAAAATACATGGATGAAATTTTGATTTTATAACATCTTAGGTAGAAAGTGTGAAGGGTATAAGGGAGACATAACAAAGACGATGTGGTGCCCACAGAGCACTCACCACGAAACCAATGCCCCAATTGGGTCCCAACTACTGCTGTGGGCTGTGGCGTGGCCTGTCAATACTGTTAGCCAGCCCCACTCTTCAGGGTCATGTGCCTATCTGAACCTGTTTTTTATAATGCCTGTTTTTGTCATTTCACCAAATCTCTAAATTCAAAATGTACTCCTAAATTAAATAATGAGGTTTGTATTTATCATTTAATATAACACAATAAATTTTTCTACACACATAATATTTTATGGGGCTCACACTTTTTGAAGAAAAAAAAAACTACGGCACGTAAAACAAATCTCTATAACATTACAGAATCACTTTTACTACAACATAACTCTTATAAAACCCTCAGAGCCTGTTTGGAGCACCTGATAAAGAAGATAAAATATGATAACTTATCATATCTTACTTTTATCTCTTGTTTGGTGGGTCAATAGGATATGATTAGTTTATCATATTGTCTCATTTTATTCTATCCAATACATGATTTCTTATCATATGGGAGGAGCTGAGTTATGATTCAATAGGATATGATACCAATATTGGATACCCAATATATCCTCACACTACCCAATATATCCTCACGCTACCTAATATATTTTTATTTATTGTATTATATTTTATTTTTTTCTTTCTCCTTCTACATAATCTTATCAAATTGCTAATCAGGTGTTAATCAAACACAAGACATGATATAGGCTTATCAGCCTCATATCATATCCTACTCTTATCAACTCCATATCATATCCTACCTTTATCATCCACCAAACGAGCCCTTAAATAATATATGTTTGATTTCGTTTACGTAAAATCTTTGGTTCAAGTTTTTATAAATGTAAAAAATTCTCATTAGAAAAATTAGCACAATCACAGTGTTGAATATTTTCGGATTCAACATAATTGCATCTATACCCGCACTCTCACTGCCGATAATATGATTTTATCGAATTTTCAACGTTCATGGACTGATTGGAAGTATTGCATCACTGATTTAATCCGAGTTAAATGATTTGAACTAGATATATATAAAATTATAATAATAGAATATTAGAACAAGTATATAAATATGACTTATAAGTGATTAATATTATATGTATATTTTTTTGGGTAGTTCACATTGATTCTTCCTTTGTGAAACAAATTTAAATTCTATGTATGGAATTGTCTTTAAAACTTGGGGAAAATGTTTCTACACTTAATGCAGATAAGTTATCTGCATTTATTTTCAGAATGACATTGTTTTGATATTGAAATCTTAAAAAATTATAAATATAAAGACTATTGTAACTCTGAAATAAATTAAAATTATAAAAATACCATGATTTTCGTCTCAAAACAACGTCGTATTAGGCTTACTGCAGATAACTTACTGCAGAAAAGTGAACCCTTAAAACTTTTACATAAAAAATTTAAAACTGATTCAACCTAAAAAATTCAGTGCGGATCTAATACCAAACAATTTAAAATTAGTTCACCGATTTATTGTTTGACATGTGAATTTACTGATTAACGGGTCTTATTTCCAAATGAACCGGTCCGGCCCACGATTCGGTTCAGTGAGGCTCGTTTGTTTTAATATGTAGGAAATCAAATATATAAAAATATTAAAAATTCAACAGGATTGGTCTAATCGAAAGAAAAAAAAAATTCTCTAGAGGTGTTTGGTAGAGGAGAAATTTTTTTTTATCCGAGAATCTCAATTTTCAAAAATATAATTTTTACATTCAGTTTACAATAATATCTAAAAATTAAAAATTTAAAAAAATTCAATTTCTCAAAATCTCGAAAATATCGTACCAAACGGGTTCTTAGCATTCAGCACTCAAAAACGTACTATACGCATACGTCCGTACGTTTCTATATTGCATGACGTGAAACGTCCCTTTCTGTTTTTTCTTCCAATTTGTCCCTATTCTAATTTTTAATTTTATTCTCCATTATCGTTTTCATTATTCATCACTTAGGAAAAGACACACATATACACGTTCTCTGCTCAGGCTAAGAGCAGTAAATGACGAAAGCTCTTTCATGTAGGCTTCTTGAAACATTGAAGTGTCCCTTTCACTCTACGAGTTGAACCCGGTGCTAAATGAAAGAAAAATCCGAGTCTGAGATGTAATAAGCATGGCGTTTAATCCAAAGTAGTGCTTTCTATCATTTTATGACTCAATAATTATTAGCAGATTGCCAACAGAACGTGTGTACCTATTGAAGATATAAAATCGGGTATATAAAGTGGCCATCCTCGTTTATTCAATTTGGATATAGGTGAAAATTTCTTCTTTAGATAAAAATGTGTATCATTTTAAAGAACACAAGATTGTGTCATTTTAATTAAGAAAAAGATAAAATATGAGTCTCACCTCTTCGTAAGAAGTGAAAGAATGTAAGGTGTGACACATTTTTCTCTTAAGAATGTGCGTGGACTGTGGCCTTTGGAGCTTTTATATATGTTACAATTTTATTAATATCTTTGTATATTTTTATTTTCTCTGTTCATTTAAAATATTCAGTTTCTCTATATCGTAATACATGCTATCTTCATGAGTTGTATAATAAATAAAAGTCTTGCGCAATCTCAAACATGGTTTATTATTATATATAATTCAGATTGGAAAAATGTAAGTGTCAAGTAAACATGATTGTACCATATAATCGATAAATTATGCATTACTAGTTTTGTACAATTCTTTTGCTGAAAGCATTCATGTTCTGATCGCAACACTCTGGTGATAGTCTCATTCTCATAGGCATACAATTAATTAGTACGGAACAATTAGCCTTTATGGCTTTCTTACTCTTATAATCAGCATTTCCTTGTCGCTTCTGCAACACATACCAGATTAATGCGCATGTCGCCTAGGCCTAGCCATTCTGGTTGTTATCTCCGTACATCTCAGTCTTAATGCCTGTTTGAGTGTAAAGTATTTTTCTTTTAAAAAAAATGTCAAAAATACTATTAACTAAAAGAAATAAAATGTGTAAGTGCATATATCGCCTCATAGTATAATCTTTGACAAATAACGTATACAATAGTATAATACTAGCAGTGACAATGACGATAAAGATAATGAGACATGCATTTTAGGGGAAGAAAAAGATGTTGGATGGCAGTATGCACAAGTCTGTAAAAAATTGGGATGAGGATGATTGTGTTTGAAGCTTTATTCTTATCTTAATATATACTTTAATAACATTAATGATACAAAGTAGTAATTGCCCATCATAGTATTGCTTTAGCGAAGTCAAACTGTGCTGAAAAAGTGACAAAATTTAAGCATATTCGGTGTTTAATATAGTGTTGGTTAAGCACCCATCATTGTATAATATTCTTTTCACCAATGCTTTGAAATTAACAAAACCATTTTCTTGAATTTCAAATACCCGCGCAAATTCAGATGGGAGTATATCCTTGCATTTTCTTTTCTCTTTCTTCTTTTATTTTCTTTTAGAGCAATGACATTTCTTACCAAAAAAATTTGTACAAAATCTGTCGCGAATTGCTAATAACCAATCATTTTTAATTCTTTTATTTTCTTTTAGAGCAATTGCATTTTCTTCTCTTAGCAATTTTCTTTCTGTTATATATATTTCAAACATTTTCGAGGTATATATAATTTCACCGCTTTTCTCATTAAAATATCGAACAAAATTAAGTCATGTCATCATTCCATGATCGGTGCATAAATTATGGGGAAAAAGGGGTGCTATTCTTTCTTCTTCATTCACAAAGTGGCATTGCTATACCGTATAAAATAAGTGCACATCACTTTAATATGTACCATTACCAATACCTAGATTGCATTCCGGGGATAAAATATGACTGCATATGTATGAAAGCAAAATATTCTAGAATCTATTTGATGTATTTTCCCGTGGGAAATGCGTCGCTTGCACATTTGTGCAAGTTTGTTGGAACCAATTATAAGGACAAAAAAGAGATTGGGCAATAGGATCATTTTGTTGCTTGTCATTGTTTGGCTGGTTTGAGATTTTCATTTGTTTAAAGAGAAAAAGTTACGCAAGATTGTTCTCTGTATATATATCTAATACGTCCAAATAAGGGTTTAATGATCACACGAATTTGGTCCGAAAATATTGTCATTATAAATGTATGGATGGATGGTTTACATAGATTTGGATATGTGGACACTGCATTCCTTGATTGGGATTATGCAGACATACTGATACTAACAAATTTAGAATATTTGTGGTCCATACTTCTGTTTTGGAACAAGGTTGGCACCTGAATCTACATGCTGGAGCCAAGGAATGAAACATAGAGCCAAAACCCTAAAATACCACCAGAAAGGAAAAGAAGGAAGGGGAAAAAAATAAAGCACAAAAATAAAGCCTCCATATATATATATATGCATAAAGAAGAGAAACTAGAGAAAAATTAAAGGAAAAGAAAATGGGTGGTTTATTTAAATAATGGTTTGGGGGAATATGGTGGGAAATTCAGATGGCTTTCTTGGATCCTGCGAGAGACATTGTCACTATTACACATATTTATAAATTTGTTAGCCAAAGATAAAGGAAGCAAGGGAATGATGAAAAGTGGGAGCAAAAAAGAAAAGGGGAAATTAAAAGTATGAATGGATATCGGACAAAGGTAGAATACTGAGGTAAGAGAAAGAAAATTAGATAGAGAAAGTGAGATGATGTAGGAGCTTCAAATAAAGGGACCGTAGAGAGGGGTGTGTGTAGACGATGGATGGAGAGATATAGACGATGAAGTGAAGAAGTAGCGGTTACTCTCTCTCTCTCTCTCTCTCTCTCTCTCTCTCATGTCCACCACCAACAAAACCCACTGAAGCAAATTTATCATCATGAAACTCCCTCTGCACCCTGCACTCCAAAAAAGTGATTGCCTTCCTCATCAAAACCCTCCTTCCCTTAAATTTACCTCTCCAAACACCACCCTCTTCTCATCCACAACCCGCACCATCCCAAAACAATGAAACCTTTTCTTCTCTTTCTCACATTCTCCTTCTTTTGCCAGACAAACTTAGTTTTCTCTGCTACAGCTCTGCCCCTCCAACTCATCACCTTGCTTTCAATAAAATCCTCACTCATAGACCCTCTCAAGAACCTCCATGACTGGGACCCCTCCTCCACCTTCTCCAAGCCTAGTTACCAAGACCCAGTATGGTGTACCTGGAGAGCCATCACATGCCACCCAAAAACAGCACAAATCACCAACCTTGACCTCTCTCGCCTCAACCTTTCAGGCACAGTCTCACGTCAAATCCGCTACCTATCCAGCTTAAACCACTTGAACCTCAGTGGAAATGACTTCAGTGGAACCTTCCAAACAGCAATTTTTGAACTCACAGAGCTGAGGACTCTAGATATCAGCCACAACTCCTTCAATTCAACATTCCCACCCGGAATATCAAAGCTCAAGTTTTTAAGGGTCTTCAATGCTTACAGCAACAGCTTCACTGGCCCTCTCCCTCAAGAGTTAAGCAGGCTTCGCTTTCTTGAGCAACTCAACCTCGGTGGAAGCTACTTCCGAGACAGTATCCCACCAGGTTATGGCAGTTTCCCGAGACTCAAGTTCCTAGATTTAGCCGGTAATGCCTTGGAAGGTTCACTACCACCTCAGCTAGGCTCGTTACCACAACTACAACACTTGGAAATCGGGTACAACCCATTCTCGGGAACATTACCAGTGGAATTGGCATTGCTATCTAATCTCAAATACTTGGATATCTCCTTTGCCAACATTTCAGGGCAAGTGATCCCAGAACTGGGAAACTTAACCTCGCTGGAGACCTTGTTGCTCTTCAAGAACCGTTTAAGCGGCGAAATCCCATCAAGCCTAGGCAAATTGAAATCCCTGAAAGCTCTTGACTTGTCAGATAACGAACTGACAGGGCCAATTCCAAGAGAAGTTTCAATGCTAGAGGAACTAACCATATTGAGCCTAATGGACAACAAGCTAACAGGTGAAATACCACAAGGAATTGGAGACCTTCCAAACTTGGACACTCTTCTTCTGTTCAACAATTCATTCACTGGAACCCTCCCACAACAACTTGGCTCCAACGGGTTACTCCAAAGACTAGATGTTTCCACCAACTCACTCCAAGGTCCAATCCCACCAAATGTTTGCAATGGCAACAAACTGGTCAAGCTCATACTCTTCTACAACAATTTCAACAATCCTCTCCCACCATCATTATCCTACTGCACCTCACTCGCAAGGGTTCGAATCCAAAACAACCACCTCAACGGTTCCATTCCAAAAGAGCTCACGCTCCTCCCAAACCTAACATTCCTTGACATGAGCAACAACAATTTCAACGGTCAAATTCCTCAAGACTTGGGCAACCTACAATACCTTAACATCTCCGGAAACTCCTTCGGAGAACCCTTACCAACTAACATATGGAACGCCACCAACCTTCAGATTTTCTCAGCATTTTCTTCAAACATCACAGGTCAGATCCCCGATTTCATTGGTTGCCAAACCATATACAAGATCGAATTGCAGGGAAACTCCATCAACGGTACCATCCCTTGGGACATTGGTCACTGCCAGAAACTCATTCTTCTCAATCTCAGTAGAAACTCCCTCACCGGAATCATCCCTTGGGAAATCTCAGCTCTTCCCTCCATAACCGACGTCGACCTCTCTCACAATTCCCTCACCGGAACCATTCCTTCTAATTTCAACAACTGCACAACACTTGAGAACTTCAACGTCAGCTTCAATTCCCTCACCGGACCCATCCCTTCCTACGGTATCTTCTCCAACCTTCATCCTTCTTCCTACTCCGGCAACCAGGGCCTCTGCGGCGGAATTCTCGCCAAGCCCTGCGCCGCCGACGCACTCTCCGCCGGGGAGAACGAGGTCGAGGTTCGCCGCCAGCAACCGAAGCGAACCGCCGGTGCAATTGTTTGGATCGTGGCGGCGGCGTTCGGGATCGGTCTGTTCGTGCTCGTCGCCGGGACCCGATGCTTCCACGCGAATTATAACCGTGGATTTGGCAACGACGGGAACGAGATCGGACCGTGGAAATTAACGGCTTTTCAGCGGTTGAATTTCACGGCGGAGGATGTGCTCGAGTGCTTGTCGATGTCTGATAAGATATTAGGGATGGGGTCCACTGGGACTGTTTACAGGGCGGAGATGCCAGGTGGCGAGATCATAGCGATTAAAAAGCTCTGGGGGAAGCACAAGGAGAACATCAGACGGAGGAGAGGGGTTTTGGCTGAGGTGGATGTGTTGGGAAACGTGAGGCATAGGAATATTGTGAGGTTGTTAGGGTGTTGCAGCAACAGGGAGAGCACCATGCTGCTTTATGAGTACATGCCTAACGGGAACTTGGATGATTTGTTGCATGGCAAGAATAAAGGGGATAATCTCATTGCTGATTGGTTCACTAGGTATAAGATTGCATTGGGTGTGGCTCAGGGGATTTGCTATCTTCACCACGACTGTGATCCTGTCATCGTGCATCGTGATCTCAAACCCAGTAACATATTATTGGACGGTGAGATGGAGGCCAGAGTGGCTGATTTTGGGGTCGCCAAGTTGATTCAGACAGATGAATCCATGTCTGTCATTGCTGGATCCTACGGCTACATTGCTCCAGGTGAGCTTATTCTTTTTCATAATTTTTTTATTTTATTCAATAATATCATCTTCATTATGTGCATTATCTTTGGGATTAAAAAAAAAAAAAAAGTACATATAGTATTTCATAAGTTACATACTTATGAAATAGTGAGTTATGATGAGTGCAATGTGAACGCTGAACGCACAACTTTGAAGGCAATGTGATTGGGACTTGGGAGTGTATGTGTATCTAAGAGGGAGGCGCTTGAGACTTTTTTTTTTTTTTTTTCCTGACCAATTTCGGTGCATGGGTAGCGTGCACTATTGCGCATGAAGAGGCTTTTCCTTTATTTTCACTTTCACGAGCTGCTTTTCTCAATGATCTTCAAATATTTAACGGGGCCCACTAAGAATAATGTCAATTCTCATAATTCCTTTGAATCATTAGGATGTTGACTTTAGTCTTAGTAATTAATCTCATTAAAGTAAAAGGGTTGGTATAATTTTAATGCTAGTTTTTCTTGTCTCTTATTACCGTATTAATATATTGTACTTAACTGATTATTATGGGTCTTGTTTTTTTTGTGTGTGTGTGTGTGTGCAGAATATGCTTATACACTTCAAGTTGATGAGAAGAGTGATATTTACAGCTATGGGGTTGTGTTAATGGAGATATTAAGCGGAAAACGTTCGGTGGATGCAGAATTTGGCGATGGGAATAGCATTGTGGACTGGGTTAGGTCAAAGATCAAGAGTAAAGATGGCATTGATGGTATATTGGACAAGAATGCAGGGGCAGGGTGCAACTCAGTGAAGGAGGAGATGATACAAATGCTTAGAATTTCATTGCTTTGTACAAGCAGGAACCCAGCAGATAGGCCTTCCATGAGAGATGTTGTGTTGATGCTGCAAGAGGCCAAGCCAAAAAGGAAATTGCTTGATAGTGTTGTAGGTCGAGGTGGTGCTGGTGACAATGTGGTTGGTGGTGGTGGTGATATTCCTTTGGCACAAAAGCCAACTCCGGAAAGCTAATATGTTTATATGATTGAAATGTTTTTTTTTTCTTTTTCTTTTTTTTGGATATTTTTCTTATTGTGGGGGGATTGGTATAGGAGAAAGTGATTTTCTATTTTTTTTATTTTTTTTTACTTTCAATGGAATTTCAAGTGTTACTTGTCTTAGTTTTCGTCCCGTGTTATATATTGTTATGACTCTTGCTTGGTTTTGATGCTTATATATGATAAAGTGTGCGGCTCACATGGATGACTTGGTTGCCCTGGGCTAGTAACCAGGAAGAAGCAAATATGTTAAAAATTAAGGCATGAAAGGAATTAATAAGTAAAAACATTTGATGGGGCTTTCACACTGAGAACTTTTTAGTGGTATTTAAAGACAAAAAAGAACTGTTTAGTGGCACCGAATTTCAAATTGATATCAAGCAGTGAAAGAGACGAAAATTGGTTACAGTGTGTGATTTTGATTATTTTACTCTCTTAAGATTTTTCAGTTTATTTCTTAAACATTCTGATTTGAAACATCATGATTATGATTTTGAATTCTGAAGCGCTTACTACTATTTCTCTCTACAATTTATGTGTTTGATTCATTGGGGGATAATAAAGACATTGACTCGGTGAATAGTACAATAGCATTTAGCAACAGCCCGGCCTTATATCTATTTCATTTTACATGAAGAAATAATTCAAGACAAAAAGGATGGAGTATATATATATATTTTTAATGGATCCTTTTATACAATATGAGATCATTTAAAAGAATTTTAATCATCCAGATATAAATTAATAATAAATTTTTTCTCATTATTTATCTGAATGTATTCTCTTATCACTGTTGTTGATTTGTATCCAAACAATTGAAAATTATTATATGATTTCATATCAAATTGAGAACATAATTTTAATTTTTTTTCTTTCTGTTTATTGAGAAAATAATGCCATATATCACAAATTTTTTTGACAAATAGTGACATGTCCACGGAAGCATTACTTTTATGGCAAATGTTAATGAATGTCTTAAGTAGGGGTGTAAATGGGTCAACCGACCTAACAGAGGTTTATGACTTGGCCTATATCAGACTAGACACGACCTAGTATCTATAGTCAAATAGAATATGTTTAGACTTCACAAAAAATTATTTAGAAAGCAGATCATAATTTTTTTTTACATGTCGGGCATATAAGCCTACAAATTGACCTATATTATATTATTATTTTAAAATAAATAAATAAAATATTATTTTAATAATTTTGAATAACAAAGTAATATTATTTTATTTTATTTTTAATTATTAAATGTCTAATAGACTTAAACAAGGTAATAGTCTTAGGCCAATACTTTAATTTTTATTAAATACAGGTAAGAACACATTTATAACTTAAAGGCTAAGGAAAGGCTTCACAACAAGTTGAGCCTAAACGGGTACGAAGTGTTGGTCGGTATCTTGGCTCTTGGATGCATCATCGGAGAGTTACTAAGCATGATTATGCTAGTGTGGTAGAGAGGGTTTTGGCGAGACTTAATGGGTGGAATGGTATATGGCTCTCTTAAGCAGGTCGTGTTACACTCTCTCAGTCGGTAATTTCTTCTATTCCAGTTTTCCATATGCAGAACAATAAATTGCCGATAGCCATTTGTAACCAGATTGAGAAGATTCAACGAGATTTTATTTGGGGTGATAAGCCTGGTCAGCGTAGATTGCACTTAGTTGGTTGGGATGCTATTATGAGGCCCAAGAAATGTGGTGGTTTGGGTATAAAGAATCTTTCACAGATGAATGATGCCTTTCTTGCAAAGTTGGCATCGAAGATATCTTTTGATGGTGAGGCTTTATGGGTTCAAGTCATTAGAGGAAAATACTGTGGCCCTAATAGACATAATGAGTCTTTTATTCATAAAAAAAGGAGATTATCGTCTTTGGGCTAATTTGTGTAGGTTATGGCATTCTCTTGATCATCAGAGCATTTGGGAAATTGGAAATGGGAAGCTGATTAAATTCTGGCAGGATTCTTGGTTGGCTGGGGATTGTAAATTAATTGATAAAATTATTTCCCCAATCCCAGTGGAGGACATTGATAAAATAGTTGTAGATTATGTCAATGATGATGGTTATTGGGATGTGCGGGGCCTGAATTGTTTGCTTCCTTCTGTGGTGGTGCAACAAATCCAAAGTTTACTCCCGCCTCATCCTCAAGATGGATTAGATAAGAAGAGATGGTGTTTTCAGGGATCTCAGAAAGTGACTACAAGAGCTATTTATGATAATTTGACAGAAGATTTTAGCTATTTAGATCAACCGAGTTTGATTGATTGGCAAAAAGTGTGGAAGTGGAAAGGTCCTCAAAGTATTAAATTGTTTATGTGGAAGGTTCTGCATCAAAGACTTCCAACTAAAATGTTATTGGCTGGCTGGGGTACGATTGATCCACTTTGTCCTATCTGTCTCCAAGAGAATGAGACCATAATCCATGTCATAAGGGATTGTGAGCAGGTTAAACGCTTCTGGTTGGAGCTTGTCCCTTATTATAAAGTGTTTGAATTTTTTCAGGGAGATTTAAGCAGTTGGCTTCAGGTTAATCTACAGAATGCGGATGTGTTAGTCAATAATATTTCTTGGATTACTATGTTTTTTATAGCATGTTCACAGATTTGGCAGTGGAGAAATGCTCTGGTTCATGGTCAACGCTCGAATGGTGATTTTTATAAAGGATTTGTTGTTAGTAGGTTGGCTGTTTATGTTACGGAGGCTTATAGCCAAAATAACGTCATGCTAACAGTCACAGGCAGTTCAATGTGTTTCATTTCATGGAGTCCTCCTGCTGTGGATTGGATTAAAATCAACTCGGATGGTGCTTCAAGAGGTAATCTTGGTTTGGCTGCTTGTGGTGGTATTTTTCGTGCCTATGCTGGTAATTGGTTAGGTGGGTTCACATATAATATTGGCAATTGTTCTGCGTTGGTTGCTGAATACTGGGGTATCTTGAAAGGTTTAGAAACAGCTTGGAAGAGGGGTTGGCGAAATGTGATAGTAGAAAGTGATTCCAGAAATGCTATTGCGGTGCTCACCAAATATGGTGAAGATGCTCGTGAGTCCCATCTGGCTATGTAGCACCGATACGACACGCGACACGTGACACGACACGCGACACGACACGACACGATACTCCGACACGTCAATCTTAAAAAATTATGGATTTCGACACGTTGGGACACATTTTAATATTAAATAATATTTTTAATATATATAGTGTATATTTCATTTAATATTTAACAATTTAACAAAAAAATTAAACTAAATTAATAATACCCATTAACACGTTATAAAGATGGAAGCTTTAATAAAAAAAATAAGAACTGAGATGAGAGAGAGATATAATATCAGATAGAGAGATCAAATCATATTAGAGAGAGATCAGAGAGAAGAAGATACAACAAGAGCGTAATAGGAATTGACAACAATGATGCTGAGATGATCTCTTATCTACTTAAGGGGAAAAAAGAAAAAAAATAAAATTGATATGATCAAGTGGAAACTTTATTAATATATTTTAACTTTTAAAAAAAAAAAAATTTAAAAAAATAAAAAAAATTACGAAAATGCCATTTGACCGTGTCGGACACGGTCAAATTCGCGTGTCGGAATGGTCAACGTGTCGGAAAAAGTCAACCGCGTGTCCGACACCGTGTCGGAGCGTGTCAGAGCGTGTCGCCGTGTCGGAGCGTGTCGGACCCGACTCTTCCTGTTTTTACAAGTGTCCGTGCTTCCTTGCCATCTGGTGACTCGGATACGAGCATGGTTATCTAGGAACTGGTCTGTTCGTTTGCAACATGTTTACAGGAAGGGAATCATTGTGCTGATTGGCTGGCAAACTTCTCATTGGATCATCATTCAGTAGGCACTTTTAGTTATCTTCAAGGTCCTCCCCCTAAGTTTTATAATGTAGTTTTGGCTGATAAGGCTTCTATGAGCTACCTTCGTAGCTTTGTAACTTGATACTTGTTTTGTTAGTTTTTATTTTTTTGGCTGGGTGCTTCCTTAGCCACACAAAAAAAAAGGAAAGAAATGTGTGTCATTCTAAAGTTGTGTCATTTTAAGAGAGAGAAAGAGATAGATAAAGAAGGAGAGAGAGAGAGTTGACAAAAAAATAAAGGTGTGGGTCCTATCTCTTTGTGAGAGTGAAATAACATAACTTGTGTCATTTAAAAGGATAAAAACTTTTTCCATAATTCAAACACTACTACTATTATTGAAGTATTAGGATAGTTAAAAAAAATAAAAAAATAGAAGTGATTATATAGTATATTTAGGTTATGCATTGTTATTTTAACTTTGTTGTTTAAATAAAAAATCTCCAAAACAAATAAAAAATAAAGCTAAAACTTAAAAGGAGAAAAACTAGCACAATAAAAATTTGTTGTGTTCAAATACAGTTAGGTGTTTATGTCCTTATAGATAAAAATTATTTAAAAGTTGCATTAATTTTTAAGAAACAAACAAAAAATTTTCTCGTGCAACGCACACGGGTATTGCACTAATAATTTATATTTTGGGTTGTCCTTGCTTGCAATAAAAAAGATGGCGAAATATAATATTTGTTTTGAGATTTCTTATAAAATAACATCTTTTATTTTTAATTTTGTTTTTATCGAACGAACGGGCCTAAGATGGAAATTTACAAAGAGAGTTATATTTGAGCCCATTCTGATTTCATCACCCACTTCACTCACTGCATCAAAACAATTTCTACAATCAAACAAAAAAGTTTGGATTCGGTGTTGAGAATTAAAAGCGAAGTTGTCAAATCAAGTTTCGTAAGCTAGGGGTTTGAGGCTAACATGAATCTGCACACAACATCGATTTGAACCAAAACTCTTTCAAGGGAAAAGAATTCGATGTCTATGAGTACCTTCAGACTTTCAGTTTCTCTGTAGTCGTTCCCATTTCTTTGGGTTTTCGTTTCGTTGTAGTTGCATGTGTGAAATTTTATCTAGTTCTAAGATAATTGTGTATTTCAGATCCAGTACAAAGCGCCATCGTCCCTTGGATGCTGCTTCCGCTGTGTGTGGAGTCTCATTTTGTGAATTGTGAGGTACTCAATCATTCTTACTTTCTAATCTAATACTGTATATTTAGAGTAACCTATCTTCTTTCTCATATCATAAGTAATTGAATGAGGTCAAGTTTTTTGGTAAGATTCACAATAATAGTCATGGAGATGACATAATTTCTAACACTTTCTTTTAAACCATGGAATGGAATTATCTCTGCTTTTATGACAACATAAAAAAAAGACAAATAGTTCTATACGAAGGGTCAGATCTATTACGTGGGTCTATTTTAGACAGCTTTGTATTTGTTATAGGCTGATTACATGTGCATGTTGGCAACGCCAACAGTTGTGTCGATGTTCTCTTGTTAAGGCATGAGCTAATTTAATTCATTCAATAAAATCTAGGAACATAATAATATCATATGGGTAGAGAGTAGTAATTATATAAGTTAATGTATGATTAGGAATGAGCTGAGTTTTACTAAAGTTGTTCGTTTATAAGTTATACAAGAAAGCAAGTTTGGTCGTTCCTTTCCTAATATTGTTTTGTAGGGATAATTCTCCAGATACATTCATGTTTCTGTTTTGATTGGTTAATGGTCTATATAGATGAATTGCAAGCAAAGGATTTGTTCTACTAAGTTGTTTATGCTTACAAGTTTCCTGATCCAATCTTAGATATATTAAGCAAAAGTGACTCTAGGTACAAATAGAAAACTAAGAAGTGTTTTCTTAGGACTCATATGTCTTGTTATTCCTTTTGGCCCTATTAATTTCGGACTCTTTCCCTATGATCCAATTGGCCTTGTTTCCCTACTCATTTTGGGTCTATAGCCACTGTTCTTTGTTTTGATATATGAGGACTATTGCCTGATTTCTTGGGCTATGAATGTAAGAATGGGCAAATATTCTGATTTGAAATTGTGTTAGTTTTTTTTTTTTTTTTTTTCAGTCAAGCTTTAGCTGTATGTGTTAAATAGGCCATAGGTACCTTATTCTAGAAGTTTAATTGACTATTGTTTTTGGAGCCATGCTAATTTGTATATCCTTCCTAGGTTACTATACGGAAGTCTTATACTTCTACATTTGTCAGATGTTGAGATTGTTCATGATGCAGAAGTCCTTTTCTTGGGGGAGGGCTTTCTTTTGTTCGGATATAATTGTTTTCTGGTGTGTATAAATTTTTTTAGTGTATTTAAATGACTTGTTTACATGCATTTTAGCTCATGAAGTATTGATGCTATTCAAAATATTTGGAAGCAAACAAGAGTGTAAATGAAACCATAGTTTCTATATTCATAAATTTAGATAGAACATCTAAGAACCCAAGATTTATGCATCTTTCGTATAATAACATGACTTGAGTTTCGTATCTCTTAAGGTTTAAACATGTGACGCCTCACACCATTCAACCTTCTTTACCGCTCCAGTTGTGCTTTTTTCCCCATTTTGTTACTTAAATTTGACAACTTTTGTACAGTTTTGTCTGTTTCTCCTTTTTTTAAGTCACCTGGGCCCCATAGAGGGTGCCACACTTTGCACAAGCCTGAATCCCCTGTTTTGTTATCTTTGAATTCATTGCAGCATATCTAAACTTTTGGTAATAGATATGATGCTTCTTTTATGAGATTTGTGGTTTCTTAGGTGTTTCTCTTAGATCTAACATTTTTTCCAGCAATGGATTCAAGCAAACTATCAGAATTCACAGGAGCTATAAAATTTTAAAAAAGTGATTAATTCATCCAGTTTGAATTTCTCTCCAAAGAAAGCCACAAAGAATCTAAAAAACACTTATCAGAGCATCAGCATAGGTAGCTTGGCTCTGTACTTTTCCTATAGTTAAATTCATAGTTCAAAATTTTCTTCTCAAATTCAAAGAAACTTCGACTTGACTTTGTATCAAATCCTCTATAAGGAGACAAACAACTTTTGTATTTGTGTCAAGACATCTATGAATATATAATGGCAAAGAATTTTTGTGTATGGTTGTTGTCCAGTAAGTTACATATGATATGTGTTTTACACCATTTTATAAAACCTTTTAAGTCCATTAGTCTAATACAAAGCTTGAGGAGTCACATTTGCATGTAAAAGTACAAGCCTTTTAAAAATTATAAATTTCCAGTCTCCCATTCCTGTCCTGGTCGCATACTCTAGAGAAGCCATCCATCCCAGGTTTTCTACTTTCTTGAACGAAGCCCCACATACACAAACAAATAAAGTAGGAATATTTTGGTCTTTATGGAGATGAGGGGAAATAGTTAGGCTAAACAACAAGAACTAACAAATAAGATAAAAATTTCTAGCAAGAACACTTAAATGGTAATCAAAATAAAATTCTTTCTTACAACCCACAATGTCAAATTGTTAAAACGATTTAAAGCATACATAATTCTTAACATTCAGAACTAAACACACAGTGTATAACTGTGTACAGAATTACAGATTAAGTCTGTAAATTTTTACCTCCTTAATTGCTTAGTGAAACTAGAAGCAGTCATTCTTCGCTGCACATGGATGAAAATTTGATAAGACTAACCTTTTCATCTTCTTTGGGAGCTGGGAAATTAAGATCTACTACCAGTTTGCCACCAAATTCATTAGCAGTGGCATGAGCATTGGTAACCATAGTATGGGAGAAGTGTACCTTCTTGTGACCACCAAGTGCTTGAGCAGACTTAAACACTTTGGAGCAGTATGTGCACTCAAACACTTTTTCATCCACAACATCACTATTGTTGCCACCTTTTTCATCTTCAATGTCACCACCTTCTTGGCATAGATTCTTAATTTTCTTATGGCTTGCTTTGTGCCCACCTAGTGCTTGATAAGTTCGAAACATTTTTCCACACCACTCGCACTTGAACCTAGATCGAGAGCGAGTTTGAACGAGCAAGTCATCTCTACCGTTTTCACCATCTTTTGCCTCTATTATGTTGGTTTCCTTCATTTTTTGAGACTTGATTTCTTCGCTTTCTGGCCATTTATCCTTGGAAAGCATTAATAGAGATCTAGCGGCTTCTACTGCACGAAGAGTTTCAGGTATTGAAATCGTTTTCTTTTGTTCATCTTCTGCCGCAGCCGCTGTAGTAAATTTGCGGTGACATTTGGATCTTTTGCGGGTTGGGTTTTTTAGGTAAGACCCGGATTCATTTTCTTTGTCTGAGTTTACCAAGGAGGGTAAGGAGTCGCGTTTCAAAGATCGGGAATTCTGTGTTGGTTTCTTTTTGGGATGGGAAGTCAGTGCAGAAGCAGATTGAATTGGATAGTGGGCTAACTCGGCCGCGTTATCCAGTGCTTGATTCTCTGTTTCGAGCTTTGGAGGAATTGGGTATATGGCTAAGTGAGATCTCATATGGCCTCCTATGGCTTTTCCGCTGGAGAAGCTCTTATTACAGATCTCGCAGACAATACCGTTCTTCTTCTCCATAGTTGCAGAAAACTGACAAAATCCAAATGATTTCTCTCTACTTTGTTCTGGACGAGTGATTGTTGAATTCAGGAACTTAAAAAGGAGTAGGTGACAAGCCTTCCTTATACAAAAAGAACACAATTAGATAAGGTAATGATAAATGTAAGAAATGCTAGCCTGCTCTCACCGTATCTGCATTCGAGATTATTTGCTTTACTCTCAAACATTTAATTTACCTATTAATGAGGTTTATATGAGGAAAAATATAATTAAATTATTTAAGAGTGAGATCTTGCGTTTGGATTTCATTTGATCTTTTCCTAAAAGTGTAATCAATAAAGTACAAAGAGTTGGATATTGATATCACAATCTTTTTTTTTTTTGGGTACAAAACGACCCCAATTATCTCTTTGAGACGAGTTGACCCTCTGGATATCCCCACAAGCTTCAACTCTTTGAGCCGGCTATGAGACTATCCCGAGTCGAGGTTTAGTCACAGTTAAAACTCATTGTCCCTCTCCAAAGATGTATTTGGTTGGAATCAAATCCAGGTTCTCTCCCTGCTCTTAATTGATAGTTTACGAGTTAATAAAGAAAGAGTAATAAATTTGAATTAGTGATTTGGGGAAAATTTTGGTAATTTCATGTCTATCTATTTATTTTATGTACTTTTTTTCTTCTTATTCCTGCTTAAATTGATATTACTATCCATTATTTTAATTGATAAGAAGTTTTATTTATGAGTTGCAAGCATCTATACTATACATTAATTTACTTGACGAGGAGTTTTATTTTGCAAGGACAAGATGAAAGATTAATAGTATTTGTATAGTAAATTAGAAATTTGTCATTCTAATGTATTCTGTTTAATAGTATTATGTGCATAGATTATGCATAATGTTTTCTATTTGATAAACTTACCTGAAGAAATCTCCTTGATTATGTGGCCTCTCCATTTGTATCCATGTAAAATTGTATGTGTTTTATTCTCTTTTGCATTTCATATTGTATGAATGTATTTTCTCTCTCTAATTCTGGCTTCGTGATTGCATGTTTATTTGTATATTGCACATCAAGCCCTTTCTTTTTTCTCCCCTCTTATGTTCTTTTTCACATGTTATGAATAGCTAGCATCCGGATTGCTATATTTTGATGAATGTTTTTGCTTTTTATTTCCCTTCTTTGAATAAATGGTGTGACAATATAGTGGAGGCTTATTATCTCTGTGTTATTATTTGAAGAAAATTGTGTGGCAATAGATTTAAGTAATTGTAGTACCATTACAGGTATATTATGAGGGCTAAGTTATTAAAGGAAACTCTTATATCAAGAACTATCAGTGTTAGTGAATTAATGAACAAAAATATGTGTTAAAGCTAGTTCCAATGAAGGTGATGAGCAATTAGGTAGTAGTGTGAGAATATCAAATATAATTAATAGTACTATTTGGATATTTGACCGAGACTAATCAATAATAATGAAATGAAGCTCGGAGACAATGGTCCTGTTGTTAGGCTATACGATTCACTCAATCTAGAAGTTAAATTCTTTTTCTTTGTTTTGTTTTTTGCAGGATAAGTTTCTAATATTCAACAATAGTAAAAGTGATGGTTATAAGTTTAGAACACCTAGTCTTGCATATTGCAATTCATCGTTTTTGTAAGAATTGGTTATAAGTAACAAAATTTATTATTTTTCACGGTAACTTTCATTCAAATTGTTTCCTCACATTTAGTTCATGTAATAGAGTTTGAGAGTTTCTATGAATGTTACTTGAGTCTTAGGATTATTACTTACTATATTTAGTGACTTTCTAACTCTTTAATCCCATGCTAGTAATGAAGTTTAGTATGAGTCAACACAATATTTGAAGAAAAAAAAATGACCAATTTATTTTTATTTGAAAAATTATTTATGTATTTATCTTATTTTCAAATAATTTAGTGTTTATACGAGATAAAATTATTTCCGGCAATCCCGAAATGACATTATTTTTGGGTTTTGGAAAAATACAAAGCATTTAGAGAAAATCCATATTGAAAGAGAAAAACAAATTCCCAAAATATTTATTATTGTATCCTACTATTATTTTTCTCTATATGAGTTATATGATGATGACACATGTTATATTTGTGGGATCCATGTGATTGAAAGTGATCTACTTTAGTCAAAGGTAGAATGATTTGGTAAATAAATTTAAAAGTAGGATAAATTGGTAAATAATATTTAAAATAAGAATAATGTGATAATTTTAAAAAAAGTGTATAAAAAATAATTTTTTTCTACAATTGTAAATATTTTTTTATTTTTAATAAAATAATTGATTAATGAGCTTTAATATGATCTGCACATTTATGACAAATTTTTTTATGTCTTGAAGCCTTTATTATTAATTATTTTTTTTTTTTAGAAATAGTCCAATCGGTTCATTCATTCGCAACTAATCCGATTCGAGGCGGGTCCAGGATTAAGGCTTTAAACCTCTCTCAAAGTTGGTACTGGAGAGATTCGAACACATGCTCTCACCCCCTCCTTTATTATTAATTCAGGTGTATGTTTGATAACTTTGAAAATCTTGATAACTTTGAAAATCTTGTATTACAATAAAAAAGATCATTGCTAAAACTTTTAGGGTGTGCATGACAACCATTCTGTTTTTTAGCACTGTTTCTGAAAAGAAACAATTCTTTTTTGTTTATGTGCTTTGGAACATTTTTTGAGAAAAAAAAATGTTTGATAACATGTTCTTTTTTTATTCCGAGAATGAGAATTGCATTTGATAACACAGCAAATAATATAATAAAAAAATAATTCCTATTAAGCATAAATTTTTTTTGGATCATCACTTTCCTTTTCATATGGTGTGGTGGTGGTGGCAGCGGCGACGACAATGGTAGCGTGGTGGTGATAATAATAATGGTAGCGGTGGTGGTGGTGACAACGACATTAATGGTGGCGAAGGTGGTAGTGGTGGCAATGATGGTGGTATGGTAGTGGCGGCAATGGTGGTGTTATGGTAGTGGCGATAGTGGTGGCGATGATGATGACATGGCAGTAGTGGTAGTGGTAGTGGTAGTGGTGGTGATGGTGGTTGATGACGGTGGTGGCAACAACAGTGGCTGCGATGATGGTGGTAGCGGTGGTGGTGATGGTAGTGGTAGAGAGTGATTGAGAGAGACAAGTGAACCTGTTAATACCGGCAACAAAAAAATAAATCGGTTTTACCAAACAAGTTTTCTATCCATTTTTTTTTTTAAACTAATGGAAGTACAACAACAAACTACATATTACTACAAAATTTTGGGCTAGAATCGCCCATCCGATCCCTAATCAACAGGGCATTGCACTCAGGCATGGGTTCATGGGTTCATGCATAACATGCAAATCCCAATCTAAAAACCATAACCCATGGCTGCAAGTTTATCAGCAACCATATTCCCTTCCCTGTACATATGAGTGACCTTAGTTACCCATTGCCTACTTAGAAGCTCATGAATCCTGGTGACCAGAGGGGCCAAAGGATGCTGCACATCGCAACCCTTGTTGATAAGCATAACAGCCACTTGCAAGTCTCCTTCCACCCGATGCTTTGTAACTCCCCTATCCTAAGCAAGCTCAATGCCATGGAGAAAGCCCCAAAGCTCAGCTCTAATAGATGAGCCTGCACCAAGATTTCGACAAAAACCAGCAATCCAATTACCAGAATCGTCTCTCAGCAGTCCTCATTGTTGTCACTGCTGGAGCCATCAACATTAACTTTGTACCACCCCACGTCAGGATACTTCTAGCAAATATATTGTTCCTCCTTGGTGGGCTTCTATATCCCTTCAAAGCCGAGGGTCCTATGCTATGAAGCACCGACACTTCAAAAATCCTGACGTTTCGTGTCCGACACTCCCCGACACTTCAACACGCGTTATAGAAATTCAGAAAAAGGTTCAAAGATTGCGTTGCGTTGAGTTTTTAGTTCCAACTATTAGATTCGTTGGATTACGATTACCATTTTATTGAGTTTAATATAAATATTTGGGAGATTTTATGTTTCTTTGCAAAATTTATGAATATTATAAGTTTAGATTCATTTTTTTGTTAAATTATTGAATATTAAATATAATATACACTACATAAATTAAATATATTATTTAATATCAAAACGTGTTTTAACGTGTCGAAATCTAACATTTTTTAGAATTAACGTGTCGGAGTGTCGTGTTGTATCGTGTCACGTGTCGAAACGTGTTCTAACGTGTCGAAATCTAACATTTTTTAGAATTAACGTGTCGGAGTGTCGTGTTGTATCGTGTCACGTGTTCCGTGTCGGTATCGGTGCTACATAGGTCTTATGAGCCTCATTGATTTGAGCAACAAAAATATTTGCCCCTCTAAGCACGGATTGCTGGGAAGACACTTTGTTATTAAAGACCAGTTTGTTGCGCGCCTTCCAAATAGACCAGCAAAGCACTCCAAACAGTTCCCTCCAAACAAATTAAAAAAACTGATTCCGGGAATGTTGTTATGCACACCCTTAGTGTTAAAAAACTAGACTCTTATTTCCAAAAAAAATAAAAATTGGACTTTAAATTTTTGGTTGAGACGATTAATGCCAAAACTTTTAGGTCCTGTTTGGAGCATCTAATAGAAAGGATAGGATAGGATATCTCTATCCTATCCTCCTTTTATCCTTTGTTTGGTGGGTCAATAAGATATGATTATCTTATCCTATTGCTTTATCTTATCCTACCCAACACCTAATAACTTATTCGAAGGGGGAGTTGGGTCTATGTAGCATCGATACGGGACACGAGACACGACACGACATTTTGACACGTTAATTCTAAAAAATGTTAGATTTCGACACGTTAGGTCACGTTTTGATATTAAATAATATTTAATTTATGTAGTGTATATTATATTTAATATTCAATAATTTAACAAAAAAATGAAGTTAAACTTATAAGTTATAATAGCATCAATTTTGCAAAGAAACTTAAGATATCCCAAATGTTTATATTAAACTCAATAAAATGGTAATCGTAATCCAACGAAAAACACAACGCAACGCATCCTTTGAACCTTTTTTTGAGTCTCTATAACGCGTGTTGGAGTGTCGGAGAGTGTCGGGAAGTGTCGAACACGAAATGTCAGAGTTTTTGAAGTGTCGGTGCTTCATAGAGTTGGATTAGGATTGAATATGATATGATAACAAATTTTATTCCATAATTAACCCTCTCATCATTTTCCTTGGAACTGCTGCCACTTGTGAGCCAAAGCTATGGGCCAGCCCCTACCACCGGCGAAGGTTGAAATCGAGGTGGTGACTGCGAAAGAGTGAGGAGAGATGCGAAACAGTTCGCTGTTGTTCTCCTGTCTTGGCTATGTTTTTAGCATCATTGCTTGGGTTTGATTTATGGATATGTTTTTTTCTCTTTTGACTCCAAAATGAAACTGAGAAGGTATTGACTCTGGATTTTTCATTTAATTTTCTGGAAATTGGGGGATGGTATCTGTTTCTGTGTTATTGATTGATTTCTTATTGAAAAGGTTGATTATTTGATGAAAGTACGAAATTTTATGTGATTCTCAGCTTCAATGCCATGGGTTTTGTTTTAGTGTTTGAATGGATACCCAACTCTTATTTGTTTCTGTCGATAGGCATCCTCTATTTCCCCTACATTTCTGTCTCTCTGAATATATTTGACTGATCATTCACTTGTTGAAAAATTAATTAAAATGTTACATTATTTTGACAAAAATTTCTAGCACTTATAGGTGGTCTGTGATAGCATGACATTCACCATGATGAACATATAATGAGATAAAGAACTATTGGAAGTCTCATTTGAAGAGAAAGATTTATTGTTTCATGAGATCTTTGAATGAGTCTTTGTCATCCAATGACATGGCTGCTGTAAACTTAGCTGCTACATCCAATAGAATGAAGATGTTGAGAGCTTGGGACCTTATCAGTTATCAGTGACGAGATGATGAAATTATGAAACGAAGTTACATGTTTGATGGTGGGGTCGAAATGTCACCCTTAAGGAAGAGCCTAATGGAAATTATTGTGGCAGATGCATATGGAAATAGTTAGAGCAAGCTCGGAGAGCAAGAGTAGAGTTTGGAACTCATAAAATGCAGAGAATAGAGAATGGTACATTAGTTGTTCATAAGGGAAATCTGCAATTGTTTAAAATTATAATTATATGAATAATTTAAAAATTTAAAATTATTTTTTAATAAATTATATGATATTTTGTTAATAAATGTATTTTAGTTTATTCATATCATATTCTGATGATATTTAGATCACCTCAAACATACGATAGGATGATATAATCTTATCAGATTATTAATATAATATACATCTAACACGGAAAATGATATAAGCTTATTTGCCTCGTATCTTTTTCTATATATATATCCAACTCTTTTATTCTATCCCCTTATTATTGAATTTACGGGGTATATGAAATAGGGACATATGAGGATTGAATGTTCTGCCCCATGTAAATGACAGTGGAGATGTATTTGGGTTATAATTCCCTAATTGAATATTAATTTTATTTTAAAGTTTTGAATGTATTTGAAATAAAATTATGTGTATTTAATTCAATAAATTGTGCACTACTAAAGAGTATCATAATGCAAAAAAAATTATAATGTGATAATATAAATAAGAAAATATTTATTTACAGAATAAGAAATGTTTTTTTTTTTCAACGAAAATGTAATAGGAAACATTTAATATAATAATAATGTCTCTTATTTTTTTTCACTTTTTCTAGGAAATAAATAAATATTATTTAAACCATCTTTAATGCTGAATCTTTTTATTTTAAGCATTAAATTAGGTTCTCAAACAACGTTTAATATTAATGATATATTAGATAATTTACTATTTAATTTATTGTGTAATTACTTTTTTTGTCCTGTTTACCTTTATTAATTATTCAACTCCCTAAATTGTTTAGATCAAGTTATTTTTTGTTTAATATTTAAATAATTAAAACTTAACAGTTAAGTAATTTTTATTAAAGTAAAACAAAGAAATCAATTGCATTAAATTATATTCCAACAATGTCAGTTATTATCAATAAGTTTTTAGGCTCAAATATTTATAATGATAATAATTTTTAATACTGAAATAAAAATTCTAATTTTTTTAATATTTTAAAAATATAATTTTTTCAATAGTTAATTAATCTAATAAAATGGTCAAAATATTCACTACAATTTTCATGTTACTGTCTAGGATTTATTTCCACATTTAACCTTATTTTATAGCCTTTTTAGGAAGAGAATTTTCTCTTGTGGTGCTTATAATGATTAAAATGGAAATATATTATCTTCAAATCTTTGTACTTTAAGGAATGAACTCGATTTATTAGGCATAATATCATCAACATCTTTCATATATGATTTTTAATATGGATTTTCTTAAATGTTATTCTTTTGACTATGATTGCGTTACCTTTGCAAGTAAAGCGTGAATATTTTAGGATACCAAAAAAAAAAAGCGTGAATATTTTTTTTAGAATTTTCTTAAACATATTCCGTTACCTTCAGATAAATTATAAAATGTTTGCCATGAAAATAAAGAGGATGAGAATTCAGTAGAAAATAAAGATTACATTATCTTTTGGGGAATGTTGTAGTTAGTACCTCTTTTTCTTACTACTTGTTACTACTAAATTGTAATCGTTGATTTCTGTCAATCTATTGATTATAATTTATTGAAAATTAATAATTAATTAATAAGTATGACTCAATAAATTATAACCGTTAGATTGACGAAAATCAACGGTTACGATTTAGTAGTAACAAATAGTAAGAAAAAGAAGTAGTAACTATAACCTCTCCCCTTATTTTTTATCTACGATTGCATTATCTTTTTCATGTAAAGCATAAATATTTATTTTCAAAATTTTCTTAAACATAGTCCTTGCCCTTCATATAATGTACTTCACATAGTAGAAAATAAAGAGGTTAGGTTTGCTAATACAAATTAGTATTTGTTTTCTTCTTCGAAGGATAAAATTTGGATATCATCTTTGAATTAATGAATAATACTCCATTATCACCCCCTAAATTTTTTTTTGGATACATAATCACCCCTAAACTTGATTTCAAAACAATGGAGAGATTGTGGGAATAAAAAAAGTTTTTAAAGAAAGTGATTATTTTGTTAGTTGTGTAACCAAATGCTTATTGAAATATATTTTGAAAAAAAAACAAAAAAAACACAATTATATGTATAAATTTAAAGGGTTCGCTTTTTCTGCAGCAAATGTAAATAAATTATTTATATTGAGCCTAAAATGATGTCATTTTGAAACGAAAAATCAAGATATTTTTGTAATTATAATATATTTCAGGATTATAATAGTTTTTCTCATTATAATTTTTTTATTTTTCAACCCAAAACGACATGGATTGAATGTAGATCACTATAGGAACATTAAAGCCAAATTTAAATAGCTTATATATTTTTTAATATATTATTAATTTCAATATGTTCAACCCAAAATGACGTGTTTTTTTAATATATTATTAATTTTTACATTGTAAAATTATTTTTAGAACTTGACAGAACTTATATATGTTAAGATTTATTACATATGATAAGAAACTAAAACAATATTTCTTTTAAAAATTATTGATATTAAATTTTGTTATATTTAATTTGGGATTTTTGTGTATTGTATAAGTAACTTTTTTAATAAAAAATATATATTAAATTTTTGAATTTGATTTGAAACTAAGTTATTTATAAAAGAATTAATTGAATCCAAATTCAATTTGGATTAACCAATGGGCTTATTGAATCCAAGGCCCAAGCCCAAGTTTTGTAAGTTTTGTAGTTTCACTCAATGAGTGGCAAAATAGTAAATAATTGTTCCCGCCATTGAGACCTTGCAAGCGCCGTGTTTCTTTTATTGGCTTCATAAAAAAGTCGCATCAGTTCATAATATTCTGTATTGTTTTCAGTTTCCCAATCACAGAACTCCTTGTTCTGTGGGTGCGTGTTCTTCTGAGTTGATGCATCGTAGCTTGAAGAGAAGAGAATATTCTAGAAGGAAGGAAGGAAGGAAGCAGTGAGGAATGGGGGAACCTAGTTCTTCTAGGGTTTACCGTACGATTCAGCAGCCCAATGCAGGCATCATCAAGAGACTTCGATTGGAGAATTTCATGTGCCATTCCAGCCACGAGACTGAGTTCGGAAACCACGTCAATTTCATCACTGGTCAAAATGGAAGTAAGTCACTCTTCACAATCTATTTTAATGTTTTTTTTTTTTTTTTTTTTTTTTAATAATTATTTTAATCGCTTATTGCTTGAGGGAATTATAATTTGTTATATTTGATGCTCGTGCTAATTTTAAAATGAATTGTGTTTTGTGAAGTTTATGTGCTCAGTAATGTATATGTGAAAAAGAAATTCCCTATTATTATTATTTTTTTGGTTCGTTGGAACAAGTGTTTTACAATGGGTTTTTGTTCGTTTTGGTGCTAGTTATCAACTTTTTCGTTTCATTCAGGACTTGTTGTTTAGGAAATTTGTGTCATGGATAAGGGAAAAATAATTTGTGTAATGAATCCTTCTTGTTTGATTGGCTCTGGTATTTACAGGTGGTAAGAGTGCAATCCTAACAGCGTTGTGTGTTGCATTTGGTTGTCGAGCCAAAGGGACTCAAAGGGCTTCCACTATGAAGGATTTCATTAAAACTGGTGCCAGGTAAATCTGCCACTCGGGGTTTCATTACCCATCATAGGGGATTCAAATGAATGTGGGGATTCAAATGAATAATAAGCTAGAGAATGGGTAGGGAAAAAATTCACAGCCGTTTAGATGGAAAGGATCTAGAAAAATCAAGGGTGTGTACTTCTTTTTTTTTTTTTAAATTCTTTTGAATATAAACTTTGAAAACTGATTTTGAGAGCAGAAGAACAATAAAACTTGTTTGAATATGGTTAGATTTAAAGTTATAAAGAAGTTGTATTTATTTGCAAAAACCCTATTAATTAAGTTTCATAAGTTTTTAAAGAAGTTGTAATGAAGAAGTTAGATTAATGGAGTAGAGAGAATATAAAAAATCACTAAATAAGTATAAAAAAACAGTAGTTTCACTTAAAATGACACAAACTTGATTTAAAATTAAAAAGAAATTTAATTTATTTACAAAAATGCCATTAATGAATTCTCATAATTACACAATGGTCACCACTAACACAAGAAAACTAAAAAACAATTATTGTTTTAGGAGTCATTTTTACAAGCCCCTAGTTTGCAGGCCCTCATATCCAAACTAGAAGATAAGTGAAGGAAATAGATCCTCTCATTTTATATTTAACATGATCATATCATGTGAGAGGAATGAACAAATCAACGTGATGATTTTGTAACTTCCCATTCCAATATTTTTTCTCTCTCTTTGCTTATCACCATTGATTTACCCTTGTATAATTAGGATTCTCTCATATGACATGATCATGTTAAATAACACATAAGAGTATCCAACTTTGGAAAACGGGTTTGAGTCTACTGATAATCAACATTTTTGTATTTATAGTTGATTTGTAACTTAAGATTATAATTTTTTGAAAGTGATTATATTATGGGTGAATTAGGATATCTTGTTTTCTTATGTTTTTACCCAAGACTATTTATTACTTTCTTATTTTATTAAAAGAATGAACCTAAACACTTGATTCAAATTTCCGTCAGAATTGTTATCTTTTAACAAAAATGGCCAACATAATTTTTTTACACAGTTCTTTATTCTATTGTCTCTCTGTAGCAATGCTGTCATTCATGTTGAAATTCAAAATGAAGGAGAGGATGCTTTTAAGCCTGAAATATATGGTGATGTTATCGTTGTAGAACGTAGGATATCTGAATCCACAAGCTCTACTATATTAAAAGACCAGCAAGGTGCGTTTTCTTATGTTTTGAATTGTTTTCAGTACTAAGTTGTTTGTCACCATAGGCTTATGTTGACAACAGATTATTTTTCTTGAGATATGCTTGATTGGTCGACCTATTGGAAGGAAGTCAGTGTTAATCTTTTAGATTTTAGCACTTTTCTTTCTTATGATTTTGATGGTTCATCTCATGACACAAAGTTATAGATGTAAACAAAACGACTTAAACTGCAGAACTTTGCTTTATGGTGAATGCTCAATTGAGTTGGTTTTAAAGTGGTTTCAAAGATATATTTAACAGACTCTTGTAATTCAGTTTAACTTTGATAGGTTGATTTCCTTGCAGTCACAAATTCCATCTTAAGTTAATTATTTCATTTTGCTGTCATTTGAATTAAAGAATTTCAAATGATTTAACTTCTCCCTAAGCCATTCTTTTTATTTTGAAATATTTTTTCCTCTCTTCGAATTTTTTTTATCAAACTTTGTATTTTTCTTTGTTGATAATGAATTTGTACTTTTTTGGGCTTATGACTATTTCAAGAAGACTATATTGATATATTCAACATACTTTTGGTATTTTGTTAATTAAATGTTACAGTAATTTAGCAGCCCTTTGAAGTAGACTTTCTGCAAATTGTCAAGGATGTTTTATTCACCATTATGTTCTATATCTGGGTTTGTTGACAGGAAAGAAAGTCGGCAGTCGGAAAGCAGATCTCCAAGAAATTGTCGAACATTTTAATGTAGGCATTCTCTCCAACAACATGGCTTTTTAAAATATACTATCTTCAGTATCTTGTATTACTAGGTGACATCTTCTGAACTTGTCGCTCTGTTTTGCTGCATTGTAACTTCTAAAATAATTTTTTTTGTAAGCATTAATGCGCGCATACTCAGCTGCTAAGTTTTCTCTTGGAAGGTGGATGGCTGGAAGAACTAATGTACTTGTGACTAGGTCATGATTAATGATCTATTTTATTAACAAGTTGCCTTAATTGAATTTATTGAGAGAAGGTCTGTGTTGTGTATGTATGATTAAAAGGTTTCGTATCACTTTGTTCACCTAACAACCAAAAAATCTTTAGCAATGCCTTTTATTTCCTTTTTCATTGGTTTTATTTTCTTGCTACTTTAAAGTTTTCTTTAATCTTCTCATTTTGCAGATTGATGTGGAGAATCCATGTGTAATTATGAGTCAAGACAAAAGCAGAGAATTTTTGCATTCTGGGAATAACAAAGATAAATTTAAGGTTATCTCTTCATGTCAATGTTATTCTTTTGATGAAGCTTATTCAGAAGCTATGCTGACTATTTATTAAAAAGTTTTTTTACAAGGCCACACTTCTTCAGCAAGTCAGTGATCTTCTGGAAAGCATTTGCAATGAAATAATGATTGCATATGGAATAGTTGAAGAATTAGAGGTTGCAATAAGGCCTATAGAAAAGGAGCTTAATGAGCTGCAAGTTAAAATTAAAGCTATGGAACATGTTGAACAAATATCCATACAGGTTCAGCAGTTAAAAAAGAAACTTGCATGGTCATGGGTTTATGATGTGGACAAGCAACTTGTAGAACAAAATGTAAAGATTGAAAAGCTGAAGAACCGGATACCTACCTGCCAAGCTAAGATTGAACAACAACTGGTATGTAAGCCTATGTGCTTGTCTCTTAGTGAAGATTTTCATTGTAAATACAGTGTGAAATGGTCTTTGTGGTTTGAAAATTTCACATTCCATAATGTACTCTTGGCATATGAAGCAAGGACTTGTGTATGGTAGACAATGAAAGCTAGGAATTTCATTGGGTGGCTGTTTATTGTGCCTATTTTGGCAAGAATTGGTAGTGCCTGCTAAATCATAAAATTAACTCCAGATGGGTTTACAATTGCAAGTCTTATTGCTAACGCATTTCATGGGGGATAAATTTGAAAGTTTGTTTTGGCCTTGCTAAATTAATGATCGGTCATAGAATTGTGTTGGCATCAAGCCCTAACTAGGAAAATATCCGTTAGAAAAAATAAGGATGGGCATAAAGAGTGAAGTGGGCAAGCCTCTGTTAGTTAGGCCTTGTTAGTCAAAATTGTTAGAGTAGTTACTTAGCCCTTTGAGTGCATGATGGGGAGATTTAACTTGAGGAGGGGTGTTAGAATATCCAAAGGATATCGTATAATATTAAGATTATATCTTAATATAATTTAGTATCCTAGAGGATCTCTTAGGATTAGTTTCCCTATTTCTTTATATTTCATAATATGTTAAAGCATAGTCTATGGGTCTTCTTGTACTGACTTAGTCCATTACCAACTAATGTGGGTGTGGGACTCCATCATAATTGAATCTCCAGTAATCTCCCTCTCAAGTGTGAGACCAGACATTAGTAGTATCCTTCCCCTTAGTGGAAGCCTCACTGGGTACCCAAGTACATAACCTACCTTGTGGACCTTAACCTAGCTCTGATACCGGTGTTACGTGGCTTGGGGGAGCCCATGGTAGGAGAGAATTTTCACTAATGGACTAAGCGACAATCCACCACAAGAAGTGGGATTGACACTACGTCTTAATCCAAAATCTTATGGCATTGAGTTTACTAGTCCTTCCACTTATATGGTCTTTATTTAATCCATTCCTTCCCAATGTGGGACTTCCCCACTTCCATTTGAATATCCATTATTCTCGCTCTCAAGTGTGAGCATCAAGTCCAAGAGCTACTCCCCCTCAAGTAGAAGTTTCTTCAAGCATTTATAGGGTTACCAACCCAGAATCCACACTTGGCTTTGCAACATGGGTTTGGGTCGTTTTAACCCAAACTGCACCAACTACCATCTTCAATTACTCACCACACCTGAACAGATAGCCGGCCTAGCTGAACCTAACTTTGATACCACTATTAGGTGGGCCAGGGGGAGTCCATGGGAGGGAGACCACCATCGATGGGTTATTTGACAATCCAACACAACAAGTGAATCTGACATCATGTTTCGACCTGAAACCTTAAGGCATTGAGTTCATAGGTCCTTCCATTTATATGGTTCTCACCTAGTCTATTCTTAATCAATGTGAGATTTCACCACTCATTTAAATTCCCAACATACAAATTACAGTTTTACCTTATTTTCTGGTTCAATTCTATCATATTGTAATGTGTTTGGTCCATTTTCATTAATAAAAGTATTGTAACTAAGCATTTCCAGCAAAAATGTATTTCACTAATATAATTTAAAGTAGGTCTAGCTTATGCCACAATCATGATAAATCAATGTTTTGTTAATTCTGTTGATAAAGCATTGTATGTGGGATCATGCTTGATGAACATTGGGTGTGCCCCTTTACTTTGTAGCAATTCTCATGGTTCGATAAAATTTTGTTTTGAAGGAGGTCAAAATTTTTATGCAATATGCAGCTTTTTGAAGTTCTTTGGTGTTCATGGTTGGTACTGAATGCCCACATCTTTAACGATTTGACATTTACGCTTGATCTACTTTTGGGATAGGACTATGTTTATTGCTTTCCTATGGTGCTCTGCTCATGATCATTTAAAGGAGTTTGTTTGCATTTCTTCCTTTCTCTATTAAAAAATCTTTGGTTTCTATTTTTCTTATAAAATTTCTTTTTCTATGGAAGTAGTTGACATGGGCTAGTTCTCATTGCTGTAATCACAAGTTAATACTTAATAATATCGATATGCAGTTTTGGTAAAACTTGATTGTAATGAGGCCGGAAGTATTCGTTGCTCATCAAAGAAACCACAGTATAATGGTATATTTGCCTGCACTAACATTTTGAGCTTTGATCCAAACTTTCAGTGTTGGCTCTTTGTGCGATATTTTCTACCTCCTTGAGTGTGTTCCTGGCATACTTTATTATAATTTTTAAAGTAGCACCGGGGGTTGTGAGAAACTTCTTGTTTTTACTCCAAGTATGGTCAATTTTTGTGGACTAATTATTTGCTTTTATACTGCATTACCTTTAATATTGGCACAAGGTTTGTGGATGGAAAAGCTCCATATCCAACCTTCCTTGCTTAATGCTTTCAATTTCAACCAATATGTTACATTATTCTGTTACTAAATTATAGTATTGTAGAGCTTTCCGCATATGTTTTGATTGCATGTCTTTAGCTTGGAAGATGTTGTCTTTGTTCAATTTTGCAGAGGCTTGCCCTATGATATGGAAATTTGTTGTCATGATCTTTTGTTTCGATTTTCACTCTTTCTTGTGTGTATTTTTTATTACCTAGAGTTATATTGGATTCTAATTTCTTTTGAAGCATCGGGTTGGAAAATTGAGGGAAAGCTGCTCCCAGAAGAAAGTTGAAATTGCAAGTATGTTGGAAACGACATCCCAAGTCAAGCAAGTGAAGGAAAATTTAAGCCAGTCCGTGTCCATGGTATGTTAGTGGGATGTCGTACTCCTACTCCCACTTTTTCCAACTGCTTTTGAACAATGTGTAGATGAAAAATTTCATCCTGCAACAGGGCAAATTTTTTCCGTTCTGTGCACTACCATTTCTGGTTTATGCTTTTACCCCCTTTACTTCAGCCTTATGCTTGTCATTTTAATTGAACTACTGGGTCAGGGTTACTTTCCTTTTTACTATGGCTATTTTATGTTGTAATCATTATCATGCTCTTGATTTTCATTACTCATAATTGTTGTTTTGTCTGTTGGTAATGTATTGTCCACCATGAAGGCAACGAAAGAAGCATTCAAACTTGAGCGAGAATGCAAAGGTAAAATTAGCAACATACAGAAGATGGTACTTCAACTTAAAAAGCTTGAACAACAAGTGCAGGATATTCATGAGCAGTATACCAAAAATACTCAGGTTCTCCAAGTCCCTGGATATGGATAATATTTTTAGTTAATGGTTTTCTTATTCCTTACTCTGTCTGCTACTACGTTAAATTTTTTTTTTTGGTGCTTTTGCTTAGTTTTTCAATTTTATTTTCTCCACTGCTCAAGATGTGTGATTCGTTTGGATAAACTATTTGATATTTTTGTGTGCATTGAGTTCATCCTGGTTTGCTGGATCAGTTTCTGCAGATTTATTTTCAGGGATTTGGTAAGTAGGAAAAAAAAAATTCTTGTGGCGATGTGTGGTTTATGGGATTTTGTGGCTTTTTTGGCTGGAAAGGAATGCCTGCATCTTCAACGTTGTTTCCTCACATCTGAATTTGTAATGGGATAGAATCGTCTTCATGGTTTCTCTTTGGTGTTTAGCACATGGTCTGTTTAAGGGAATTGGTATTTTCAATATGCAAAGAGATTGGGTTGCTCTCCACACTGACTGATTGTTTTTTGGAGTTCCTTTTCTTTGTCTCTGTTCCCCCCCTCCCTTTTTGTTTTGTCTATGTTGAGTGTTTCTTATCCTCCAACTTTTTGTACTCCTATCTCTTTCTTTCTCTAATAAAAAATTTCCTCTTTTTAAAAAAGAATGATATTCAAAATGTGATATGCCATTTTAGATTTAGGGTTTCAATACAGGGTGTGAATTCTGGTTTACCAAATAGAGTTCAAAAGTAGGAGGATCACTCTGTAATAAACCTAAAGCAAGTTTGATACGTTGGAATGATGATTCCACTCCTGCCTCTATTTTGCAAGAAGATTCCTTAGTTTGGTTTGTAAAAAGACATGGAATGACAATTTCATTCCAAATATTGGTTAGGAGAGGTTTAGGCATACCTTCCTAGAGAGGTGGGAATGGCCGTTTATTGCAGGCCAGAGTGATTTGATGCTTGTTTTTTATTACTTATATATCATCATCAGTTATTGTTAAGATTTGCAGCACATGTTTTCCATTTCCTTTAATTGCTCCGATTATTACTCTCTCTAATAAATTCCTTGATTGCTTCCTGTAATTACTCTGATCCTGCATCTTCTATGGTGTTTGTTTGGGCTTTTTTGTGTCCCTAAGAAGTTGCTTACTCTAATGGTTCTTATAATGAAATTCAGTGTGCTTGCAGAAAGTGATCAGTCTGTGAGTGAGTTAACTTAGAGGAAAAATTTGATGTGTTTTTGGTTGATACATCGTTGAAGGAATTGTGATGGATGACTTAAAGTATAATGTAGTAATATATGCCATTTTCAACTTAAACTAGATATTTGTGATTGTTTCAGTTGCTTTTGTTTCTTTTCACTGCCATATTCTATAATGGTTACTCACTCTTCCTTTTTGGTGTATCCTGGTTTTTACGTTTGATCTGCTTGGTCATCAATTTGAAATGGCTAATGTATGATTACAGTTGCATTAACTTTTTATGTGAATTTTAATTCTATTATTTTTCATAATAATGCAGGCTGAAGAATCTGACAATAAGGAGAAACTAAATGGGCTCCAAGATGCGGTTCTTGCAGCTGAGTTAGACCTGCAAAGGTTATGCTTTTCTTATGTGGTTTTTCATATTTGTGTTTTACTTGGATTTGAAGAAGTTCCACTTCCTAATAGTTCCTTCTTGTTCCAGTTTGAAAGAAGAGGAGGTTATGTTAACCAACAGCATACATAGGCAAAATGATGAAATCAAAAAGATTGCTGATAAGGTGTGTTGATTTTTATTGCTTTTAATTTGTGTTTGAAAATTGATGGTAATTGGTGTTGATTTTCAGAAAGATTGCTGAAAGTGCTTCTGTTCTTTAAAATTTGTTTATTACAGCATTTCACTTTATTACTTTTGTGCTTTTCATAGATGCAAGATCATGAAAATAAATATCGTGGTATCTCGAATCATATCCGTGATCTTCAACAACACCAAAGCAATAAGGTATGACAAATCGTGCAGTTTTTAAGAGGCTCAAAATATCGGTTTTCTTTTCCATGTTTATGCATTTAGTTTATTTACATGATAGATCTAACAGACTAAAGCAATCCTCATGGAAATCTCTAACAGACTATCTTATTTTGGAAGCAGATTGCGGTTTTTGGAGGAGATAAAGTGATGAATCTTTTACAAAAAATTGAGAGATATCGTCTAAGGTTTAAGATGCCACCGATTGGTCCAATTGGTGCCCATCTGGTAATACAGTTTATGATGCCTGCTTGTCATGTCTTACCCATTGCTTTCTTGGTGTATTTGTACTCTTATGCATTCTGATGGTTGAGGAGTTAAATCAAATGAAGTATCTGTTTATGGAGCCGTTGTCTTCTCCTCAGAAGAAGTAATAAATGGATATGCGGATATAGTAATATTGGTTTAATTTCATTGGTAGGCAGTATTATCCAGTGAATCTTATTGGGGATAAGATTGTTTACCTTGCATCTTTTTAGTTTATGCACATGGCTGTTTCCAAGGGCTTTATTTGTTAGATATACAGAGGCATTAGAGATCTCTATTGAGAAGATTTTTTTTTGTATTTTTTTCTTTTCTTTGGTTTTTCTGCTGTTAGCTGTTAGGACTTCCGAGGATTCCTGCTTTATAATTCTCTTTTTTTCTAATATATTGTCACTTCCTGGGCGGCATTAGTTAAACTGTCCAAGGGGGTGGACTCCTCCTTGTTTAACACTTTCTATCCCCATTTTTTTCTCTTCGATCAAATGCCATTTTCAAATTTAGTTACTAGCTTCATTAGTTAATTAAACTTTCTAAGGAGGTTAGTTACTTAATTCAATTGACATACTAAGTTGTTATTATTTGGTATTGCTTTTTATGGTTCAAATTAGTTGCTTAATGTTGATACATGGAGGGTTGGATGTTAATTACTTAATTTCCATACTTAGTTATTATTTGTGATTGCTTTTTTATGGTTCGACAGAAGTTGCTCAATGGTGATAAATGGGCGCTCGCCGTTGAACATGCCGTTGGGAGATTGCTCAATTCTTTTATAGTGACTGATCACCAGGATTTTCAACTTCTGAAACAATGTGCTAAGGAAGCAAACTATGGTCACCTTCAAATTATTATTTATGATTTTTCAATCCCAAGGTAAGTTGTTAGCATAGTCTGTCTGCCTGTCTCCATGCTCATTTTGTGTTTGTTATTTCTGGCTTCTTTTTTCAGTCTTATCTCTAGTTGCGATCATGTTCTTTTACTTTCTGTTGTAGGTTGATAATACCACATCACATGCTTCCTGATACAAAACATCCATCAACTCTTTCCATCTTACAATCCGAGAATCAAACTGTGATTAATGTCTTAGTGGATCAGGTAATTGACAAAACTTTGCTTATACTTAATATTCTATTTTAAGGGTTTTTTATTGCTTTATCGAGAGGATGTGGGGGCACTTTTGAGATTATGTTTTCTTTATTTTTGTTTTATTTTTCTTTTCCATTCTTTACAAAATGCTATTCTAGGATATTATCTTATCCCCCTTCCAGTAAACCTCTTTTGTTATTAAACTCTTTAATCTAAAACTGAAGTTGAAGGGGAACTTTGGCACAATGAATGGTGTATTCACCATGGGACTTAAGAGGTCACAGGCTTGATTCATGTAATCAGCCTGGTCTTTTTTTTAATGTTTCTAATATTTTAGTTGCTTTTCTAGGGAAATGTTGAAAGACAAGTGCTTGTTAACGATTATGATGCTGGGAAAGTGGTTGCCTTTGAACAAAGGATCCGAAATCTGAAGGAGATATATACAGCAGATGGATATAGAATGTAAGCCAGTGCTAATTGACATTGCCATCCATGTGTCCTACATCCACATCTTGTTGTGTAAATATATAATTTTTCATTACTAGGGATCCATATTTATGCCACACCCAAGATAGTCAAAATCAACATCCTATCTAAGATCAGGAGAAATAGAAAATCACGTAAATCGTGTGATCGGAGACGGATCTTAAGGTCCTACTTAGGATAATAATATATATATATATATATATATATATATATATATATATATATAGAATCCTTTAACACTTTAGTTTGACACCAAATCTTAACCGTTGATTTCCGTGAATCTGACGGTTATAATTTATTGGGTCACACTTTTAATTAATTATTAATTTTCAATAATTTATAACTGTTAGATTGGTGGAAATCAGCAGTGGTTAAGATTTGGTGTCAAACTTTTTAGTTTGTCACCGATGTCAAATGATCCTTAGGGTTATATATATATATATATATATATATATATATATATATATATATATGCATGTGTGTATGCGTGCTCATATGAAATAACATAAATAAGAAAATAAACCTTTAAGTTACTACTAACATTTAATTAAACTTAAATTGAAGATGCATAACCTAGCCAAACCAGCACCCGAGGCTGGTGTGTCCATCGGAAGAGCTGGTGCCTTCCTTCGATTTATTTCTGTATTTAACTTTCCCTAAACAACTGAATTACAATTCAGGTTGTCTGTAATTCTTTTGCAGTTGTTAATGGAAATTCCGACTTATTTCCTGTTGTTTTCTTGAGTATTTCGTACAGTTGTTTTGTTTGGTTACTTTTTGATTGTCGAATGCTGTTTGGAACTGAGTGGTGCCTCGTCATGATTCCTTAGCAGGAGAGTTCCTTCAAGTTCCCTTGCAAAAAAATAGGGTTCTTACGTTGTATTTACCCTTGTTATTATGTAGCTGCTGTCTTTCTTGCAATGTGTGGACAGTGAGTGTTCCTTGACATTGTATTAGAGCCCAAGTGTTGCTTGTCGCATCCATTCTTCCTAATTAAAAATTTCTGAACAAGTTAAAGTACTAAAGTGACCGTGTGCATTGTTGACGTTTCAAGCCCATAGTGTTGTTAGGTGAGATGTTATGGTTAAAGATATAGAACTATGTCTAAACCTCCATCGGTCAACGTAGAAATGCAATACTTGTTTGTCAGCTTATGTACCATTTTCATTTCAAAGTCAAACACATCAGCATGCATCCAAATTCCAATCCCTTTTGTTGATTCATTACGTAAGTTTTGCTATGGAGTAGTATAGCTCAAAACCTTAAACTGTTGGAAATTTCCTGTGTATGCATGTATCTTCAATCCGTAAGTTAGGAACTGTACTTTCTAATCTAGGTTCTTTCTAGGTTTTCTCGAGGTTCAGTACAGACTATTCCCGTGTATGCATGTATCTTCAATTCATAAGTTAAGAACTGTGCTTTCTAATCTAGGTTCTTTCCAGGTTTTCTCGAGGTTCAGTGCAGACTATTCTTCCCCGAAATAAGAAGCTAAGATCTGGCCGTCTCTGTAGTTCTTTTGAAGATCAGATTGAGAATCTTCGTAATGAAGCATCCGATGAGCAAAAGGCTGCCATTGACTGTAAAAGGAATAAAAGAGAGGCAGAGATCAAGATTGAAGATCTTGACAGGAATCTGAAATCTGTAAAGGTAAAAACTGCTTAGATTTTAGACTATTATTATGTTTTTTTTGCTTTTTCAATTTTTTTCTTAAGAAATTTAGCAACTACATGCTTAATTTTATGTGTCATCTTTGTCTAGTCAATGTAAATTGATTAGTCCATTATTAACAACCATTAGGATGAAATTTAACATTTCTATCTACAATATTTAAAGTATGTTTTCACAAAATGAAGTGGCAAATCATACCTAATTACTTTCAGTCCTTCTAAAATATTTTCTAAGAAATAAGACATCTCTGAGAAATTATTTATTGAACCCAGTTAGTTTTTAGAATGAATTATCTGTGGTCACATCCCTATAACAATTCTTACAAAACAAGGGGATAGCATACCACTATACATTAATTTTTTTTATTTAATATTTATATTTTATTGAACACTTACTTAAAAAAGATGAATTTACTAAGAAAATAAGGGGATGAAGTAGCATAGGTAATACTTTTAAAACAAACAAAACAGCCAAACAAAGGAATGAAAAATAAAGATACATTAGCAATAGTTCTAGTATAATGTTTTGACGATAGCATATATTAGGATATAATAAAATTGATTAGACCCGTTGTTAGTCCTATGTTCCAGATGGTCCCTTTTTAGTCCTTTTCCCCTTCATTTCCCCCTCTTCTTCTTTTCCCTTTCTTTTTTACTTTTATATATATATTATTACTATTCTATTCTTTTTATTTTTATTTTTCCTTTTATGTTTCTTTTTTTCAACCTTTTTGTATCTTTCATTTGGGTTCATCTACCACCGACCCAATTAATTTGGGATAAAGGTGTTGTTGATGTTGATGTTGATAAGTCTCATTTGCCAATTTAGAGGTTTTGGGTGGAGTAAAGAAGGCGAATTTCTTTTGTGGTCTGTTAAATGTGCAGTAATTGGTAGAGTTTTCTTTGTAAAATACTACAGTAAGATTTGCAAGCACTGCGTACTTGATATTTACATTTTTTTTTCTCTTGTTTGTCCCCCTTTTTTGTGGTTTCTTTTTGGAGGATATATTATCTTCTGATCTACTTCTCTATCTTTTTTTTCTTCGGTAAATTCATATGATTGATGAAACATTAACTTCCTATAGCTCTTAAATCCCTTTTCTAAATAATAAATAGAAAAGCCCCCATGAATAAACCTCATGCAAATATCTAGAAAGAAGCCATGAGAACAACTTGATCTCATAAGTGATGTAAGAAGAAATCCCTGATAAACAAATATAGGAATAAGCTACAACCATGATTGCCGCAAGCCCGCAAAGAAAACAAATCTTGAGAGGACCTTAAAATCTTACTTATCTAAATCCTCTAAAATGTAAATAATGTTAAAAAATATTCTAAAATGCATAAGATAAAAGTATTTTTCATGCTTGAAGAAAAGAATCATCAACTTATATTTATTGCTTTTCAATATATCCCTATTCACTGATGTGTTATTAATCTGCCACTTTTTTTTGTTTTGCTTTGTTTTTTTCCTTTTAGAGGCTTTGTGTAAATGCAGGAAGAAATTTTACTTCTAAGAAGCTAGCTTTGGAGGAGGCAATGCATCAGCATGCAGCAGAAAATACCTCAGCACCTTTGTCCTCTGTCGATGAGCTTGTTGAAGAAATTTCAGTTTGTTCCCTATTATCCATTCTTTAACAACACATTCTATTTTTTTGCTCGGGGTGGGGGGATTAAGGGATACAACCAAGTTTATCAAATCACAATACAAATTGTGAATTGCCAAGCTAACTTTTGATAACAGAGACATGATGAAAAATAGCTTGAAATATATCAAATAAATAGTATATAATACTTAAAGTAATAATTTTAAGCTAGGAACTTGAATTGACAAAGCAACTTAGCCATAAGTCTCACAAAACAAAATTATAAATCATAAGTCATAACTAATTCATATAAAGTGAATAATTAATTCATATAAAGTGAATATATAAACATATGTTTCAAAACATCGAAAGTAGAACAATAATATAGCCAAATAAAGTTCATATAGAGTGAGTGACGGTGCGAAACTTCTATTTTAGAATAATTAAAATATAGCAGTAGAACAGTCAAATAGGATGTATAGAGTAAGTGAGTAGCTATTTAAGGCCTTCTTTTAGAAGAGTGAAAACAAGGCAATGGAATATTAAGTAAAGGTGCATTCAATAGCGTTCCTTTTGTTTTTCTTTTCCCTTGACAATTTAAACTTACTTTATTTTTTATGAGAAATAAGGAAAAAAATTAATGAAATGTTGAATTGTGCAATTCGTATAGGTGATATGGAATTGCATCGGTTCATGCATGTATTGCACAATTCAACGCTATCTCCTATTCATCACATGATAAGAACCTCTAGCTTACCAAATGGTATCAAATTGTGCGATTTGAATCACAAATCGTGCAATTCTAACAGCCAGGATACAACTTTGAGGAGGATCGTGCCATTGGCCCTATACCTCTCTTAACATGAGAATGAAAGAGCATAAAGAGAAGAAAGACAACCTCACATCAAGACCTTTTTGATATTAGCAAAATAGCCTATTTTGTTATATACGAAAAGAAACTCTTAATTAGATTTTATGAACCAACTCTCTCAAAAATTTAAGCTCTTAGGTGAAGATACATGAATTGTTTTATATTACATCTCTAACATGTCCCTTCATGCAAGAGCTCGTTGTCCACTGGCCTACATACCTTGCACTGAAATTCAACTTTTTATTTGAAGAATAGAGGCGGGGGAGTTCGAACTCTAAAAACCACTTGATCATAGAGGCTCTAATAGCATTGTTAGGTCACTTGGGGGGGGGGGGGTCCAAAATAAGGTAGACCTCCATCAGTGACCTAAGTAAGAAACCCAAACCATAATAAGTGGATTTGACACCACATCTTAACTTAAAACCTTAAGGTTTTGAGTTTATGAGTCCTCTTGCTTATTTGCTCCTTATAAGTAGGTAGAGGTGGCAATACGAGCAACCTACCCTGACCAGTCTCCAACTCGCCCAAAAAGGGGTCAGCCCGCCTTGCCCCATTTATTAAAATGGGTTAAAAATCTCAATACACCCTGTTCTATGGAGGGTTGGTGAGTCAACTCGCCTATATAGTAAAATCACAAATTATTTAAATATTTACACCAGAAAAATTATCTCTTCCTTGCAATCTATTTTTGATAAATTCAAAATATAATAATTTTTTAAACAAAAGTCTTTACATTTAGACATAAGCAATTATTTAGTCCGAGCATCTAGTAATGGGCGTTGCAACATATTGCAGATGCAGAGGTACCTGCTTAGACAAAATTAACTATCAGGTTAGAAGATCATAATTTTCATGGAACAGCAAACAACAATATGACAAAAGGTTATATACAAAAAAAGAAGGGAAGAGCTGCAGTGCTTGGACAAAGATTTAGGGGATCCAAGGATGAGATTTTGAACACGAAAGGGGGAAGGATATAGAATATTGCTTTAACATGAACAATCTGAAGAAATATTTTTTCAATGAGAAACAATAAATCTTTTACTCTTTTAACACGGAAGGATATTGGTAGATGTCATAGAACTCTGCCTTTACCCCAGCCAATTAAGCATTTAAACTGGATCCATCAACAAAAACTTCACTTTGTCACAATAACCTGTTACAGAAAGGAAAATGAAACTGAAATTACATTTACAAGAAAAAATAATTAAATTCACATATTAAAGTGATTGAGTAAGAAGTCACTGCGGCTTTAGATATTGGTTAAAATTGAAAAGCTAAGTTTTGCGGGTACGCAGAAAGATAGATAAACAAATAGAGTAGGGTGGAGAAAAAACTGTAATATTTCTATAGCAATAATATATGGTCAAACAATAGGGAATATATGAACATTGCAATAAACCAAAAGTCAAAAGGAAAGAGGCAGAGGACTGGAATGATGTCACAAAACCAATAAAATTTCTACGAGACTTGGAATGAAATTTTACCTTCTAAACCAATATAAACATGACATATTGGAATGGAAATGCTTTTACATGCTTGGTCAAAGAGAAAGAATCAGAGAGAAAGTGAGAGCAAACTAAGCATTATTCAGAGAAAAACTAAAACTGAATTCATTGATTACAGATCTGAGTAGAGACCTCACTTTTATAGATGATACAATAAGCATATATTCTAGAAGCTTCTAAAAGAGATCTGAAATGAACAAAATGTAACTATCTAACTGACTGAACCTGAGCTTCTAAGATTCAATTATAACAAACTTAAACACTACTAACACGAGTCCAAATACAATGAACCATATAGTCCAGATACCATGGAGTAGCAGGTGTTGATGCATACCATACCAGGAGAGATAATAACCTGCAAAATGTAGGCATTGGAGACTTGGAGAATGAATCGAACAACTGGTGGTTGTTCTTTAGAAGGTTCTTGAAAAATATGTATGGAGGGGAACCTATTCCTCACTAATGAATAGCACGTGGTGAAAAAGGAGGTAGCATTTGAAGGTATCAAGCTCATTCAAACAAATGATGAAAGCATAAAAAAATTAAAATTAAGTAGAAAGGAATATTGACACTGCAAGAGGTAGGAGGATCCATTGCTTTGTGTGCGTTGTGACTGACAGCTATATTAGGGTAAACAACTCGTTGGGTCTACTTGTGCCTGACCGCTTTAACCCGTCCATAAATAGGATAGGTAGCATTGGGTTGGTGGGTTAAGATTTATAACCTGACTCGTCAATTTAGGCGGGTTAGGCGAGCTGACCCGACATGTCAGACCTAGTTTGTTAGTTCTACTAGTAGGTGAGAGCACTATCAATGTACTAAGCGACAATCCACCCCAATAAGTGGGCTTGACACCACATCTACTTGAAAAAGGGTATTCTAATATATTATAGAATTGTGTATTAATATGATACAAAGAGGTCTCTATTTATAGAGACCAAAAACCCTAATTCTTGACCTAATGGGCTTGGCCCAATACAACAAATAATAATAATAATAAAAGGCCTAATATTTACAACACTCCCCCTCAAGCTGAGGAATAGATATTTATCATTCCCAGCTTGCTAGTAAGTTCTTGAAATCTATCTGAAGGAAGTCCCTTTGTCAATAGATCAGCTAATTGACGCCCAGTGGGAATGTATGGAGTGGTAATCAACCCGCTATCAAGTTTCTCTTTGATGAAATGGCGGTCGACCTCAATATGTTTAGTCCGATCATGTTGAACTGGATTATGAGCTATACAAATAGCGGACTTATTATCACATAGCAGCTTCATAGGTCCCTCACATTTTATTTTGAGATCATCAAGTACAATTTTCAGCCACAGTAACTCACAAATGCCTTGAGCCATAGCTCGAAATTCAGCTTCTGCACTTGATCTGGCAACCACATCTTGTTTCTTACTTCTCCATGTCACCAAGTTACCGCAAAGAAACATGCAATAACCAGTGGTAGAACGACGGTCAGTCACGGATCCAGCATAATCAGCATCAGTGTAGACTTCTAAAGAGAGATTACCATCACGTCGGAATAACAATCCTTTACCAGGAGTAGCTTTAAGATACTGAAGAATTCTCTCTACTGCCTGCATGTGTTTCTCCTTTGGATCGTGCATAAACTGACTAACAACACTAACAGCATAAGCTAGGTCTGGCCTAGTATGGGCCAGATATATCAATTTTCCAACTAGCCGTTGATATTGTCCTTTATCAACTGGAGGACTCTCCTCTTCAAAGCCTATCTTGTGATTCTGCTCAATAGGAGTATTAGAGGGCTTACACCCGAGCTTCCCTGCTTCTTTGAGAAGATCCAAAACATATTTCCTCTGACTGATAAAAATTCCTTTGCTTGAATGAGCTACTTCTATCCCTAGGAAATATCTTAGTTTCCCAAGGTCTTTGACTTCGAACTCAGAGGCAAGTCGTGTCTGCATAATCTGTCTCTCCACAAAATCATCACCTGTGATAATAATATCATCAACATATACAAGGAGCACAGTAAGCTTCCCATTTTGGGAGTGCTTGAAGAAAAGAGTGTGATCTCCTTGACTCTGTCTATATCCTAAGGTCATCATAACCTTAGTAAACCTTCCAAACCAAGCACGAGGTGACTGTTTCAATCCATACAAGGCCTTTTTTAATCGACAAACTTTATTTTCCCCCTTCACAGAATCAAAACCAGGCGGGATTTCCATGTAGACTTCTTCTTCTAACTCACCATTGAGGAAAGCATTTTTCACATCAAATTGATTTATATCCCAATTGTAATGGGCAGCAAGGGACAACAAGATTCTCACTGTATTCATCTTTGCAACTGGAGCGAAGGTTTCTTCATAATCAATGCCATAGGTTTGAGTGTAACCTTTGGCGACTAATCGAGCCTTGTATCTCTCAAGAGTGCCATCAGAATTATATTTCAGGGCATAAACCCATCTGCACCCTACTGCTTTCTTTCCGTTGGGTCTATCAATAACCTCCCATGTTTTATTTTTCTCCAACGCATTCATCTCCTCTTGCATGGCTTGAGCCCAATTCCCATCTTTCAAAGCTTCATGTACTGATTTTGGGATTGAAGTAGAATCTAGTGCTGAAACCAAGCTTTTGTGCTGCACAGAAAGATTAGCAGAGGAAACAAAATGGGAGATAGGGTATTGAGTACAAGAGGGACAGGAAGAACAAGTTTTCTTGGAACAAGATCTTTTTCCTTTTCTTAAAGCAATGGGTAAATCATCTGAAGCAGTAGTAATGGGTAAGTCATCAGAAACAGTAGTAATGGGTAAGTCATCAGACGTATTAACATCATGATCAGAAATATGAGATTCAGGACTTACCAGTGGTTCAGACGATTGAGGTTGCTGTTGAGGCAATGTGGGCTGTTTCCTTCTTTGATATACCAATTCAGGTGTTACAATCTTCCGTATCTCTGGTGTATTTGATGTATCAGTCATAGGAGGATTAGTCACAGGAGGATCAGACATAGACACATTAGGAACATGAACAAGAGGAAGAGACACTGACACAGGTGAAGAAGTAGACACTGAAGATTCAAAGAAGGAAGGTGATGAGTCTTCTGGTGAATTATTCTCCCCCTGAAGATGAGGACCTTGGAAAAAGTACTCAGATTCCTGAAATGTAACATCCATAGAAACAAAAAATTTCCGACTTCCAGGGTGATAGCACTTGTAGCCCTTCTTATCAGGAGCATAACCAAGGAAGACACATTTAAGAGCCCTAGGATCCAACTTACTGCGATGCTGTTTATGAATATGAACAAAGACAACACACCCAAACACTCGAGGAGGAAGACTTTGCAAAGTTGGAACAGAAGGAAAAAAAGAAGTCATGGAGTGAATAGGACTTACATGATCGAGAACCCGAGTGGGTAGACGATTGATTAAGAACGCTGCAGTAAGAATGGCATCTCCCCAATAGCATTTGGGTACATGTGTTTGAAACAGTAAGGCACGAGCAACTTCAAGAAGGTGACGATTTTTCCTTTCAGCAACCCCATTTTGTTGAGGGGTGTCTACACAAGTAAGTTCATGAATCATACCGTGATTTTGTATAAATTGGGAAAAAGAGTGATTGACATATTCAGTACCATTATCTGTCCTTAGTCTTTTGATATTTTTACAAAATTGAGTCTCAATCATTTTATAAAATTGAAAGAACAGTTGTGGTACCTCAGACTTTTCACGCATTAAGTAAACCCAAGTGACACGAGTGTAATCATCAATAAAAGAAACAAACCATTTATTTTCAGAAGAATGAGGGACCTTAGAAGGACCCCAAACATCAGAATGAATAAGATCAAAAGGTTCAACACTCTTAGTAATACTAGAAGGAAAAGACACACGATGATGCTTAGCAAATTCACAAACATCACAATGAAAAGACTCAACAGACTTAGACAAAAACAATGACGGGAATAAAGATTTGAGTAAACTAAATGGAGGATGACCCAAACGCTTATGATGCAGCCAAATTAAAGAATCAGCAGTTGATTGACCATGAGACATGAATGTGTGATCTATTACTTTATTTGCGGGAGATTGTGACACCAGATAGTACAGCCCACCTTGCTCTTTAGCACTACCAATCGTCTTCCCTGTGGCGAGATCCTGAAAAACACAATGGGTAAGGAAGAAGGTTACAGTACAATTCAAATCTTTTGTAATTTTGTGAATAGAAAGAAGATTTGTGGAGAGTTTAGGAACATGAAGAACATCCTTAAGATGTAAGGACTGCTGTAAGTTTATGTCACCAGAACCCGCAACTAATGTATGTGAGCCATCAGCTATGGATATTGTATGAGTTCCAATGGTAGGATGATAAGAAATAAAGGAGTCAGCACAACAAGCCATATGATCAGTAGCACCAGAATCAACAACCCAAGAATGTTTAAAATCATTACATGAAGAAATGAAAGAATGAGTTTTGGAGCTCATACCAGTCATAGCCAAAGCACTAGTATCAGATGGCTTACTCAGATAATCAAGAATGGTTCGGAGTCGTTCCAACTCATCTGGACGAAATGCAGATTGGGTCTCATTAGGTGCAGGGGTTATTTCAGAAGAAGTAAAATGCGCTTGACCACGCATCCTTGCCATCTTTTCTAAGACAGTTTGCTTTCCATAAAGGCGAAAGCATAAATCCTTGATATGACCTGTTCTTTTACAATAAGAACACCATCGATCATTTCTCTTAGGTCTAGAAGAGGTACCATCATAAAATTTTGAAAAAGAACTCCTTTGAGAAGAGGCCATACTGCACAGCAAATAGTCAAAGAAAAGCTCCAAGAAGCCACAAAATCACAAACAAATACTAAACAACGTCAGATCTGACCGGAACAGTAACACAGCGGCCGAAACAGTAACACAGTGACCGGAACAAATACCAAACAACGTCAGATCTGGTCGGAGGCAAGAAATTGGTGAAAGAACAAACTCCAAGAAGCCAAGAAATTCTGAAAAAAATACCGAACGATGTCCGATCAAAGTAGAGAGCACAGATCCAGAACCGGCTTGGAGAGACGATCAGAACCGTGGTGGTCCGCGGCCGAGAATCACCGTCACGCGCTGTCACGCGCCGGTGAAGCTGGCGGCGCGTGGGATTCACGCGCAGAGACAAGGGCGGCGCGTGGAGGCGCGTCTGACCTCCGATGGTGCTGGGTTTTTCAGGCGAAGGTCGTCCGGCGAGCGCGATGGTTTCTGTGGCTGTTCGGAGTGAAGAATCCACCGGAAAAAGGTTCCAATCACGATGAACAGGTTCTGTATGGTGGTTCTGTACGTTGATTCTGTGAACGTTTGTTTCTGGTTGACAAAAGAAAGAGGAACAGTGAAGCAATGGTCTTCTCGGTCCAAGAGGTCCCCGGAAAAAAAAAATCCGGTGGCGGCTGATGGCAGCGAGAGACGTAAAAAAGAATAGAAAGGTTTCGTAGGCGCGGAAGCAGAGCCCTCTGGATCGAGAGCTCTGATACCAACTTGAAAAAGGGTATTCTAATATATTATAGAATTGTGTATTAATATGATATAAAGAGGTCTCTATTTATAGAGACCAAAAACCCTAATTCTTGACCTAATGGGCTTGGCCCAATACAACAAATAATAATAATAATAAAAGGCCTAATATTTACAACACATCTTAATCGAAAATCGTAAGCCAATGAATTCATGCATCCTTCTATTTACATGGTTCTCACTAAATCCCCAGTCAAGCCATTCGTTTCGATACCACTGTTAGGTCATCTGGGGGAGCCCAAAATTGGGTAACATCCATCATTGGGACAATAAGTGGACTTGAAGCCACATCCTAATCAATGTTGGACTTCCACCCCCTTAAAGTTTGAGTTTCAACATCAGCTTGACAATTTCCAATAATTGACATGGCCAAACCAGGCTTTAATATCAATATTAGGTGGTTAGGGGATGCTCATAGTCAAGGAGATCACCTTCAATGAGTTAAGTGACAATCCACTACAATAAGTGGTTCGACATCACCTTAACCCTAAACCTTAAGGCAATGAGTTAATAGATCCTTTCACTTATATGTTCCTTACTTGGTCTCTAATCACACTATTTACCATGTCATGCACAAACTCTTCGAAAATCTTTAGTCGTAAAGGAAGACTCATGAATCATTTTATATTACATCTCTATCAGGGCCAATCAAATATAGAAACAAATGAGTTGTAGAGTAAATTTGTGAAACTGCATTTGAGGTTTGCTCTAATTGTAGAAACATGAAAATCTTAGAGAATTTGTAAATTAGGAAGGATATTGGCATAAAGGATTAGCAGTAGTAATAAAGTTAACTTATAAAGCTGGTAAATATGGACATCAAAACCAAACTATTAGATACACTAAACTAGAACTCAAGAGTTGTCTTAGACGTAAATCTTTCTTCCCCCGGGTTTATTCTTGTGCCTTGTGCCTAAACTTTTTAAAATATGGTAGCCGAATGCATAATATGATCTTTTCGTTTCGAAGTTTAAACAATGTTTTATTCCAATTGAACTATAGGAAGTCCAGAAAAAAATAAAAGAAGAGCAAGTCTTATTGGAAGGCCTTCAGCAAAGGAGGGATGAAGCAGCAGGAGAAGCAAATGATCTTAAAGTAAAATTTGACAAACTGTGTGGTATGTAGTACTAGTTATTTCTTTTATGTGAGTGTGATCATATGCAGTTATGTTGATTTAATTGTAGAAATAATATATGGTTCATAATCTATTGAATGTCATAAAAATGCAGAATCAGCGAATGGGGAAATTGCCGCCCTTGAGAACACTGAGAATGAACTTGTGGAAATTGAAAGAGAAATGGATTTGGCAAAAAAGGTTTCCTTTCTTTACTCTCTTGTGCTTTATTAGTGCTTGAGCATATGATAATATCTTATTGTCCTTTATTTTATTTTTTAAATTTATAGGCGAAGGATCATTATGATGGTGTCATGAAAAACAAGGTCCTTCTTGATATTAAGGTGGCAGAGGAACAATATCTGGAGCTTACGAAGAGGCGTGAGGTGCATTTTGATTTAGATTATTGATGTAAATCTGGAGGTTGGATTATCATTTTATCTACATGCCTCTCACTTTTTCCTTTAAGGGCGAAAGCAAGTATATGGTCAATGAACTGGACCATAAGCTTTTAGCTTGCCATTCCTAAACTTATTCAAAGAATTCTTAGTACTTACTATTTTCCCATAATATAGATGACATTTTGTAGTTGTAATCGTTAGGCTAGATCATGTCTCTCTTAATTTTTGTTTCCTTCTTGTTTGGTTGGCTTCTTCTTTGGGAAAGATTTTGACATCAGAAAATATGATGATCCATATGTTTTTGTGGTGACTTGGTTTTGTGTGAGATGGAATCTGACTCTGAGGCCATTGACTTGTTAACGCAGATTCTTAGGCATGTAATCCTAAATTACAAAATTATTAAAAAAGTCCTAATGACACCAAATTACCATTAAATACGTAAATAACAATAAAATACCAATTAATATTAGTATCCCATTATTCCTAATGCATGCGGTATTTTTATTACTATGGCATATTCCATCCAAAGAACAAAAATCCTCATAGAGCAACATAGTACATGACAAACTGAAGAAAGAAAAGTGACATATTTTAGCTCCGGCTGGAAGCTAAGAAAACAATTCTGTGACTTATATGTTGTGTAGGGAGAAATGGGGCTATATATTCCAGAGTTTTGCTCCAAGTGGATACTCCACACTGCCACAAGAGCACAATTCTAAAGGACCTATTGTCCTTTTAAAACCTTTGAAGCGGATCCAGAAGAAAGGTATCCATCTTAGGCATACATCCTACCCTAGAGCTTGTTTATGGTAATATCATTTGGATCTACTTTTTCGGTTTAGTATCTCTAGACCCTGAATTTCAGGCAATGGTTGTTATGGGATCAATCCATGAAAGTCATTTTCTTGGTGCGACAATTAATGGAAAAATATCGAGAAAAGAAGGACTCACATATGCTGTTCATAGATCTTGAAAAAGCATACGACAAGGTCCTAAGAAAAGTTTTATGGTGGGTTCTTGAGAAGAAAAAAGTATCATCAAAGTATGCAAAGGCAGCCATGGATATGTATGATGGAGCTACTACATATATGAAAGCTTGTAATGGAACATCAAGTTATTTTCTTATCACAGAAGGTGTACACCAAGGTTCGGCTATAAGTACTTATCTCTTTGCCGTAGTTATGGATGAACTAACAAAAGATATCCATGAGGAAGTGCCATGGTGTATGCTTTTTGCAGATGATATTGTGCTTATTGATGAGACCAAAGACGGTGTTAATAAAAAACTTGAATTGTGGAGAAGCACATTGGAGTCTAAAAGATTCACGTTAAGTCAGAGCAAGATTGAGTCTATGAAATGTGAGTTTTCTCTGGTAAGAGATGTAGACCAAGATTCGATGCATCTACTTGTTCAAGAGGTACCCAAGAAAGATGCTTTTGGATACCTGAGATCCATTCTGCAAAAGGCGGAGAGATTGATGAAGATGTAAATCATAGAATCAGAGCAGGGTGGATGAAATGGCGTAATGCTTCTGGATTTTTATGTGACCGCAAAATTTCCCTTAAGTTAAAAAGAAAATTCTATAGAACAACAGTAAGACCTGCAATGTAATATAGAGCTGAATGTTGGCCAGCACATAGGTAACATGAACATAAAATGGGAGTAGCAGAGATGAGGATGTTAAGGTGAATGTGTGGTTGTACCGGGATGGATAAAATAAGAAATGAAGATATTCGACGTAAAGTAGGAGTACTACCGGTGGCTGAAAAGATGAGAGAACATAGATTGAGGTGGTTTTGGCATGTAATGAGAAGGGCCCTAGATGCTCCCGTAAAAACAAAATTTTGTTACCAAGAGTTTGACACAAAGAAAGATAGAGGTAGACTGAAACTTACTTGGGGAAAGGTAATAAAACAAGACTTAATGGAATGAGATATAGATTGCCGGATGGTGTGCCTTAGAACGGAATGAAGAAAAGTTATTAACATGGTGGAGGGTTAGACCTGTTGTTATTCCTATGTTTCGTATGGTTTTTTTTTAGTCTTTTTTCTTTTCATCTCCCCCCTCTTCTTTTCCCTTTCTTTTCCTTTATCTCTTTTCCCCTTTGCCATCTTCTTTTTCTTCTTCTTCTTCTTTATTTTTTTACACCCCTTTTATTTTTACTTTTATATATATATATATATATATATGTAAAGAACCAATTCAACCCAAAAGCTTAAGTTATTGGGTGAGGCTACATTAATGGTTTTATATATCTCAACACGCTCTGATACCATGTAAAGAACCAATTCAATCTAAAAGCTTAAGCTATTGGGTGATGCTACATTAATGGTTTTATATATCTCAACAATATATAGTGTTATTATTATTATTATTTTATTTATTTTTATTTTTATCCCTTTGTCCTTTTATTTTGGTTTATCTACCACCGACCCCAATTAGTTTGAGATAAAGATGCTGTTGATGTTGGTGTTGGTTGTATTTTCTGTCTAACTGGTGTGACTTTCTGAGTAGTTTAACTTTTTGAAGTTCACATTTTGCTTGTATATCCTCTTTAGTTGGTGCCTTCAAAATCATTATTACTTGTCAAAAAAAAAGATTATGTTATGAATTTGAAGTTCATCTTGCTTTTTATTACTCTTACGTAGGAGTGTATTGTGCATGTGCGTGTGAAGAAATCTTCTGTGAGCTTCACTTGGTCCCTATGCATTATGGGATTTTTATAGATAAATTTATGCCTTATGGGATAATTCTATAAGCATTATAAGTCATAAAAGATATAGTTCCATGTACATGTTGCTGATGTTAACCTTGGTTGAAACTGCAGGAGAACATTAAAAAGGCTTCCATAATTTGCTGTCAGGATGAACTCGATTCATTAGGAGGTTGTGATGGGAACACCCCAGAGCAAATCAGTGTCCAATTAGAAAGACTAAACCAGACACTTAGGCGTGAGAGCCAAAGGTATGGCATTATAATATTGATTCACGCTATCATGTCTCTACAGCCAAGCAGAAGCGTCTGTCAATTTATATGTAATGTTTTTCTTTCTTTTTTGGTTTCCCTCTGTAGGTACTCTGAATCAATTGATGATCTTAGGATGCTATATGAGAAAAAAAAACGTAAGATTATAAAAAGACAGGAGGTTTACAAAGCACTTCGACAGAAATTGGATGTATGTGTGCTTTGGTTTTATTTATTCTTACCATTCAATCCAATTTTTATGGATATATTAAGTCTATTTCGCTCTTTGCTTCTATACACTATGCCTTTTAGCCTATTATAATCCTTGTAGAATAAAAGCTAATGCAAATTACTATCTTCATCCAAATTTTAGCCTATTATAATTTAGTTCTAAAAGATGTTCTTTTCTGGAGTTGGATATCTGATTGAAACTTAATTATCACCAATTTTTGCAAGGTTAAGGCTCCTTCTATGCTCAAGAGTTCTGTTTGTTGCAGGCTTGCCACAGAGCCTTAGAGATACGAAGGAACAAGTTTAAGAGAAATGCAACTTACCTGAAGCATCAGCTTTCTTGGAAGTATGAATTCTTTCACCGTACATCATCTTTTTGTTATGGTTTTCTACGGTCACAAGTCAAGGAGTTTTTTCTTTTCTTTTAACTCATCCTCATGATCAGATTTAATGGCCATTTGAGAAAGAAGGGGATCAGTGGACTTATCAGAGTTAATTATGAGGAAAAAACCTTATTGGTTGAGGTAAAGCTGGTTTTCTTTTGCTATGTCCTTTTCATGCCTTTTCTTCGATGCAAATTATTTTTATTTATTTACTTTTTCTTTTTTTTTTGTATTGAAGTAAATCCAAATTAGTTTTAGAAGGTGTTATATTATTCATTTTGGTTGTACCTGTTGAAACAATATTTTTGGATTTCAGTGTGTGTGGCCTAAATTGTTTGTTTGCTTTAATTTGTTTCTTTTGTTTATAGGTACAGATGCCCCAAGATGCATCAAACAGAGCTGTGCGAGACACGAGGGGGCTTTCAGGTTCGTTTGTAGGATAATAATGAAAACGCTACCATTGTAGGATGAAAAATGAAGATGCTTTCCATTGTAGGATATAGAATATCAGTTCAGTTGTCTTCTTTAATTTTAAAGCAGTGGGACATTGGAAAAAAATTATTTATATCATCTTTTCATATGTGTGTAAAATCTTATATCTTTTATGCAAGGGTGAATTATATGGGTTTAATATCTGTCTATGTATGCAACTATGCATTGCTTTATGATATGTGTGTCACTGTGTGCTCATTCATTTTTCTTGCTGATAATTAGGTGGAGAGCGTTCTTTTTCAACATTGTGCTTTGCGTTAGCCCTTCATGAAATGACCGAAGCCCCTTTCAGAGCAATGGATGAATTTGATGTCTTTATGGTATAGCTGTTTACTGCTATTAATGCATCATTATTATTATTATTATTTTGCCTTTGTATACTGTAAGTTATAGTTCTATATTTTTTGTTGAAACTTAGCATCTAGTTTGTACTTTGTTGTGTTGGAATTTATAAAGTTTGGTAATCTGTTTGTGAATAAACTTCCTACTATGGAATTTGGATTTTATCTTCAGGATGCCGTAAGCCGGAAAATCAGCTTGGACACTCTGGTTGATTTTGCCGAGGCACAAGGATCCCAGTGGATATTCATCACACCGCATGATACTAGGTACTGTTTTCAAAATTAGACATGATTATTGTTGCGAAGACTGTTAGAATATTAGGATTCTTGTTAGGCTGGGCTTGTATTAGATGAACTATACTTGTACTGACATAAAATATTACTATAAGTAGAAGTATTTGGTTAGTGTTGTACACACCATATCATTAGAATATCAATTATTCAGACCATGCCCATATGCTTGAACGGGAATTAGTCCCGCACCTGAAGGGTGTATCAATTATTCTGACTGTCTTTCTTTCCTTTACCATGTTTCGTCAATAATTTCAACAAATACATACCCGGTATCCTGTCGTAAGCTATCATCTTTCTGCTTTGCATACTTGTTAGATAAATGCATGTGGGCTGATGGGGCTGGGCATGTGTTCCACCTTGTTATACACTCGTGCGTGTCCTATTCTTCTAGTATAAATGCATCTACCGGATCCTAAATAGAATTAGGTTAGTGTTTTCCATGTACGGTTTTCTCTCTCTCTCTCCATGCATGACTATAATGTTCTTTTTCTTTCTGAATTGGCTCTACTTTAGTATATTTGTTGTGTCTTCTAAATTGTCTCGCATCACTTGTGAATGCACCTATACGCTACATAGCTCAGATGAGTTGATTCTTGGTGTCTAGATTTGTCGTTCTGGATCATTCATTTGCTGGTAAGCCTCCCTCCATTTCTTTGGTCACAAACATGGGGTGGGGTGTGAAACCTCAGTTTAGGGGTGTACTGTGGAGGGAGTGACTGTATTGACCTGTTGGTGTAATAAGTCTGATGTGGTTGTTATCATTTAACCAATTTGATTGATGCATCTTCCATGCAGGTAAGTTTTATGTATCTTGTCAATTTGGGGATCCCTATTATTGTTCCTATGTTTGTGAGGGAAATTCCAGAAGAGTCAAGCCAAACCAAGATTTTGTTGGGTCTTGATGGAAACTGTTCGGTACTGATTGACAATTTACCGGTCGACTTTATTCCCGTCTGTCATTCCCTAGTTATTTAGGTCCACCATCTTGACTTTAAGCTTGCAGCTGAGGAGCTTAGTTCTCAGTTATTTACCACTGTGATGTCAAAAATTTAGCATTCCCTAGTTATTTACCACTGTGATGTCAAAAATTTAGACATAGGTCTCATGACTGTTGGGCATTTGAGGAGCTTAGTTCGCTGAAGTTCCAATTTAGTAGGATCATATATTATTATTGAAGTGACATGATAAATATCTGGAACGTGAGCTAAGTGGATGAACTCCCGAGTCTTGACCGTTGTGTTGTCTAAATGTGCAGCTCGGTGAAGGCGGGGGACAGGATAAAGAAGATGCAAATGGCAGCTCCACGTTCTTGATCGTTTGTAATTTGCTTTCTTCATGGCAAATGGAAACTCATTTATGAAAGTGTTTTTCTTCTTTCTTTTTATTCTAAATCCTTATCTTTCCTGGGCTTTATCATTTTGAATATCTGATGATTATTTATTTTAAATTTATTTTGTTGTGGTGTGTTTGTGAGCGCATGCTAAAGGCAGGCTTGACTCATTTTACATGAGATTTTTAATTATTGTAATGTAAATAGCTAAGTTATTTTCTAGTTATTCCTTCTCAGTATATTCCATAAAAGTGCTGTGCTTTGATTGGTGAACAAAAATATTTGCCTTGAAAATGAGAAATTCTTGTGAACTTAAAGCGGCACACGGAGAAAACTTCAACGTTACATAATTTTCGATCTTTTTCGGTAGACTCAAACCTTTTGTCTCCATCATATATTCAACTATTCTATAGAATTCAAGAGAGATAACAAGTCTGACACGAGAAAACAAACTGAGACTAGTTTAGTTCTTTAATTGATCTTTTAAAGATTAGTTTTTAAAGATTAGTTTGTTAATTACATTAGTTTTTTTTAAAAAAATTTCGTTAAATTAGTTTTTTTAAAAGATTCAAAATTTCATCAATTAACTTTTGGATTATATTTATCTTATATTGCATAAGATAAATAAGTTTCTTACACATGCAAAGTGGAGGTAAGTTTTACATCTATTTTTCTCTCTTTTTACAAGTAGATTTCACTTGTAATTTTATTTTTATAATATGAGATAATCGTTTTTCTACTACATAAGATAAATATAATCCTTAGTCTTTATGGAGAATTAAAGTAAGACATAAAACGGGATTTGGATAACTATTTTATATTTTTAAAAAATTGCAATGATATATTAGTGTATGAAGAATTTATTTGTTAGTTTATTGAATATATTTTTCTTAAAAAGAGAAATTTAACTTATGGCATGCAAATATATTGAAATTCATTACTAAGAAACTATTTTAATGTGTTGCTGTAGCTTTTATTTGTGGTATAGTTTAGATGATAAGGGGTGATAATTTTTAAGTTAAGAAATTCATACTCGGGTTGATTTTATTTTATTTTTTAAATTCGTGTTGTTTTTTGTATTTTTAAAAGCTAATGAGCAAAAAATCTGCGTAACTCGCAAATATAAAATTAATTTGTATTAATTTTCTTATTGGTTATAAGTGTCTTGTCATGTCTATTCATACGATATTGGTGAAAATAATCGGTATACTAATTATTTATATCTTATTGTGTCGTATGAATCCTTGTAATAAAAACTTGGCACGTAATTTATATTGTGTTGTGTGAATTTGTATAAAAAATAATACATTTGAGATTGACGGGTTATTCGAGTCGTGTGACGTCAACTCACAAAATAAACGAATTGTGTTCGTGTTGAAAGTTTTGATCCGTTTTCAAATTCACGTAGTGTTTGTATTGAATATATTTGGATGTTTTAAATTCATGTAGTATTGTATCATATTAACTGTGGTTGTCACCCTTAATAAGAACTATTATATGCTTTTATCTATTGTAAGTTTGGATTTTGAAATCACATTTTTTTTTAGCTTTTTGATTAAATAAATGCGTTTAACACAAAAGATACTTATTTAATTCATTTTTCAAAAGATATTACATACCAATGTAGTCAATTTTGCATGTTGAATGTATAAGATAAGTTGTGAACGTTGACCACACGAGACTTAATGTTAACGTGAAAGTCCCGCACATTGATCATATGAGAGTTAATGCCAACGTATAAGTCTTACACGTTTATTGTAAAGTCTCATATGTTTGCCATGTGGGACTGCCACGTTGGCATTAAATCTAGTATGGTCAGTTTGCAAGACTTGAAAGAGTCTTGCATGGTTAACAAATGAGACTTTCATGCTAGCATTAAGTTCTGTACGGTCGAAGTGTGAGATTGACTACATTAGTTTGAAATATTTTTTAAAAATAAATTAATTAAGTATGTTTTTAAAAAAATTGATTTGGTCATAAAGCCTTTTTCTTTTTTTAAACTTAATAAGGCAAAAAAAAAACTCTATTATCACTTAGCATTATTTTTAAAAGTTCATATTCTTAAATTGAAAGATTTATATCAACATGTAAGTACCATTTTTTAATTAATTAATCAAATGCATATTTCTCAGTATGTTCAAGAAAAATGTTAAATAATATAAATGTATTTATAAAAAGATTCATTGCAATTTGTCAATAAAATATTTATTTTTTAATTTGTTCTCTCAATCCATAGTTAATTATGTCAAAAAATATTACTTGTCCAAAGAATAACTTCTTCAAAGTAGAGTTAGTTAAGAAATTTAAGAAGCTTTATCTAATAAAATTAAAATCTAAGAAATTTATTCATTTTAAAGACTGAGTAATCATTTTATAAATATAGCTTTTGTTTAACCCTGCAGTTACTTTATTATTTTGCTGTTATTCACCAAACTATATTTATAACAAACTAGTTCCAATATTCTCACCTTAAAATAAATAAGAAAATGAACATAATTTAAAAAAAGTGTAAATACCATTTTCGGTTCTCAGCAAATTTTACGATGCTCGCTTTAGTCCCTAGCAAATAAAAAGGCTATTTGTGGTCCTAAGAAATTTAAAGTGGAGCCATTTTAATCTTTTTGAAGGACTAATATGAATTTTTTTTGAATTTGTGAGGGACCACGATTTTAACTAAATGGATCCATTTTAAATTTTTTAGGAATTACTTTGTTAGGAACTAAAGCGGGCATTGTAAAATTTGATGAGATCAAAAATAATATTTACTATTGAATAGATAAAAAATTGAAATTTTGAACGGTTCCCTCGTTAATTTAAGGACTTAATTACTCCATTTGCTGATTGGGAATATGAGCCTAAAATCACTGCACATCATCATAAATTCTTAATGAATGTTCCTTTACATATTAAGAAAAGTATTTTGTCTGTTGTGAGTTTAGAGATATGCCGTTAGCAGCGGCCATAAGAAAACAAAAAGCAGTACTCATTACTCAACACCTAAATTAATAAAGGGAATAAGATCTGTAATTTTAAAAGGATATAAACTTATATTATTTTATATCTTAATCGTTGATTTTCGTCCATGTTATAATTTATTAGATTAAAATTATTAATTAATTAATAATAAATTTGGCCCATTAAGTTTGGCCTAATAAATTATAACTGTTGATGGACAGAAATCAACGATTAAGATCTAAAAGGATATAAGTTTAAATCATTTAAAAAAATAGATGTTTTTCATTAATAAATCATTGCAACAAAATATTCAAAAATTTGAGTCTCATAAAGAGAGAGAAAAAGAAAGAGAGAGACAGAGACACTCAACAAACAATTCCGTTGGAGTTGGTCCCTAAAAAGGTTTACAAAACAAAACTACAATTCAATTTCAATATTACTATTCCACAACACAACAACACAACATAGAGAGAGATACACAGAAGAGAACACAACGCTCCAGAACAACAATATCAAAGCCAGTGACGAACGATGTCGTTTCCCTCTGAGAATCAGAACCCTAACCCTAATTCTCCATTGAAGAAGAGAACACTGAGGTGGTCGGATATCTGGCTCAAGCACACGAAATCGAAACCCCTGAACGATGTGGTTGTGGCGGCAATGAAGCTTCACTCGCTCTCTCCTCGGTCTCAGAAAGCGAACCCCTTAATCTCCAATTTGTCCATCATTGACCGAACTCTTCTATTGTCTGATGAGCTTCTTCTCAAAATCCTCACCAAGCTTCCAGATTCTCCTCAGAGGAACTCAAACTCCCTTGTTTGCAAGCGCTGGCTCAATCTCCAGGGTCGCCTCGTTCGCTCCATCAGGATCCTCGACTTTAACTTCCTCTTATCTGGTAGGTTGATTCATAGATTCCCCAATCTCAACCATGTTGATTTGGTTTCTGGGTCTTTGATTTCGCCCTCAAGTTCAGCAATTTTGTTGAGTAACCGCGTTTTGTCCATGAATATTGATTCTGGGTCTTCCCCAAATTGGTGTTTTTGTGAGGAAAATATGCTCCCTTTTGAGGTTATTGATAATGGGCTCAGTGCACTCGCTAGTGGGTGCCCCAATTTGCGTAGGCTCCAGGTTATTGGTGCCAGCGAGATGGGTTTGCTCAGTGTGGCTGAGGAATGTTCCACCTTGCAAGAATTGGAACTGCAGAGTTGCAGTGACAATGTGCTTCGCGGGATCGCGGCCTGTGGGAATTTGCAGATCTTGAAATTGGTTGGGAATGTTGATGGATTCTACAATTCTGTGGTTTCTGATATTGGGTTAACGATTTTGGCTCAGGGTTGTAAGAGGCTCGTGAAGCTGGAGCTTAGTGGGTGTGAAGGGAGCTTTGATGGGATTAAAGCAATTGGTAAGTGCTGTCAAATGTTGGAGGAGTTGACCTTTTGTGATCATAGGATGGATGATGGGTGGCTAGCTGCACTTGCATTTTGTGAGAATTTGAAGACCTTGAGGTTCCTGTCTTGTAAGAGAATTGATCAGAATCCAGGACTAGATGAGTATTTGGGTTCTTGTCCAGCACTTGAACGGTTGCATTTGCAGAAATGCCAATTGCGGGATAAGAAGAGCATAGCCGCAATGTTTTCTGTATGTAGGGCTACCAGGGAGATTTTTCTTCAGGACTGCTGGGGATTGGATAGTACCATGTTCAATTTTGCAATTATTTGCAGGTAAGGTCCTCCTCTTCTACAATTGCCTTTGGTTGCCCAACCATGCAACCATACCCTAAACTTTTAGCCTAATTGTCCTGGTTAACAATCTATTGAACTTATATTGTGATTTGTATTTTTTATTGGCTAATGTTGAAATTTCTGTAGTCATAATATACGTATAATAATTGTATTCTAGCATCATATATGTCTTGCCAATCTGGTCTGTAGGGAAATCCTATATGTTTATAAAGTGCAAATAATTTTTGGATTCAATGTGGTTGGAGTGGTTCTTTTCTGTTAGATTATTGTGAAATTTTCCTTTCACACCTTCAGTTCTGGATTAACTAATATATTTAAATTTTATGGATGCAACAAATTGACAGTAAACTGAACTGAATAGTTTTAATCTTTTCTGAAGGTAGTTTTACTATTGTAAGTTGACAAGCTATATATGGAAGTGCCTCCAACCAGCTGGAATTATTTGTGAGTAATGTAATGATAGTTGTTGCTCTATTTCAGGCGTGTAAGATTGGTTTACTTAGAAGGATGCTCATTGTTAACAACAGAAGGTTTGGAGTCTGTAATTCATTCCTGGAAGGAGCTTCAGAGCCTTAGAGTAGTCTCGTGTAAGAATATAAAGGATAATGAAATCTCTCCTGCGCTTGCAACCTTATTTACCACGCTCAAGGAGTTGAGATGGAGGCCAAATACCAAATCACTTCTTCAATCAAGTCTTGTGGGGATAAGCATGGGAAAGAAAGGTGGTAAATTTTTCAAAAGGACATGATACATGGCTGAATTTGCCATGCAGTAATCTAAATCTAGGCTATGTCTTAGAAACACATTATTTTCGCTGACATAGTGAGATTGTACCAATGATTATTTTGTACGGTTAACTTAGATGTTGACGGTGGAAGATTGTTCTTTGTTTTCTTCCGTCAGAATAAGGAAGAAACCCAGAGATGTAATTATTTAAAAGTCTAACCCAGTTCACTCCACGTAGAAATTGGGTACACCTTGTTCCTCTGCGTTTTTCTGTTTGACTGGGGGAAACTTTAGTTAAAGTAACCATGCTACGGCTATATGTGGGCCTTTGGCCTTAAGATGCTATAAACTATGCATTTTATGAATTTTCACATGTCATGCAGCACTTAAAAGGTTGTTTATGCCTGTAGCTTGCGAGTACTTATTTCTTCATACATATATCTGCACAATCATGAATGATTATTACATTATAAAGCATTAGTTAAAGTTTGTCCAAGGTACGGGTGGGGATATTCTTGGGTTTACTCAAAAAAAAAGTTTGTCCAAGTTACATTTAACATTTTTTAATATATTTTAGAAAAATTAATAATGCATATAAAGATATTGTGATTTTTTTTAAAGAATTGTGCATGATCATACTACCCTACGGGTTCAACCAGTTTGAGATAAAAGTATTATTAATATTGATGTTAATGTTGATCTTACCCCACGGGCAGATCATAATGTAGGAAACAAGTTAATTAACTCAATTAGTTTGACTGCCAAATATTTAACATATATTTTAAGTATTCGGTTTGGTCCTAAAAGAACTTGTGTTTTTGAAATAATAATTATATCACAATAATCTTTTAGATAAACTACAGCAATCCTGTTGGGGGAGATTTATTGAATTCACAATTATTTGAATGTAAGAGAATCAATTATGTACCGCTTGAATTAATTTCTTTGGTATCAAAATAATTTTTTAATATCAAAAGTTGACATTAAATTGATTAGTTTAAAACGAAAATGTGCATAACTCAAAAAAAAAATCCCAATGTTAAAAAGTGATATTCTTATATATTTATATCACATTACAATATATATGATTCGTTTCAAAAATCAGATGAAATATATTATCTGACTAACTTGGTAATCTTAGGATAAAATAGCTTTATCAGTACATATTATTTCTTATTCTTATCCGACTCTTTTATTCTATCTATCCACCCACGCAGGCAGTAAATTTTTTCGATATCATATGTTATATTCTTAATAAAGTTTTGCAATATTTTGAAAATATAGAGTAAAGTTCTTTTTGGATCCTTGATAAAAAATACGGTCCTCACTTTTGTCCTTTACAAAAAAAATACTTATATTAGTCATTTTTTAAGGACTAAATTGGGTCTTCAGTGAATTTCTGAAAAACTATTGTAACACCCTCCCCTGTATGCACCCAAAGGAGGAGTCTGTTAAATCTTTTTAGAGTTGTAACGTTATGTATTGAAATCTGATATGCACTTTTAAGTCATGTATAAAAACTTGTATCGAAATCTGGTTTCATAGAGAAAACAACAAGAATTTCTTAAAACCCTTTGCTTGCTGGAACAATGAATTTTTCAGAAAACAGTTTGCCTTGCAAAAATCGTATAAAATCGTGCTTAGAATTTTTTGAAAATCTTCTTTGACACAGAGGAAATAGACATCTGGAGCTTTACGTACATATAAAATATAGCCCATTCGGAGATCTGTAGCCCCAGAAACAGAACTCGCAAGATGCATAAAAAAATCAGTGTAAAATTCCGAATTTAACACATACTGATTTTATTTTTGAAAAAACTTAGTATCAAAGGCTAACTCAGTTCAGATTGCATCTAATTAAATTCATCCATGCAGAATCTGGTTATAGCTAATAATTAATCATCATTCTCCCGCACATGTATATCCATCTAAATCATGTTTTACCCAAAATAACGAAAATTATTTAGTAGTTGAATTCTGGTTACTTAGTCAACTAGTCTCATGGTTACATCCGTTCAATCCCGAAACATAAATTCATGCAGCAGCAAAGCCTACACGTTTACAACATGATCAAATCCAATACTCCAATCAGTATAGAGAGAGGGCACATAACAAGGATTGCATCAGCGCATAAACTTAAACAGAATTTCCATGAGGTCACTTCATCAAATATTTCTTTGTCCGCCTGCAATTTTATAAAAATTGAGCCCCATAAGGGGTGAGAAAAATCCCAGTAGTGTGACAGAAAATTCAGCAATGCAACAATGTTAACTTAGATATAGAATTTACAATATTGTCACATCATCAAATAGTTCCAGAACAGATTGCCGAAATGCAACAGAATGCATATATAACGCCAGAATATTGTATGTTCATAGCACTAACGTGCACATACTAACTAGCTAACTAACTCAATGGAGATTCCATTTGGCCCTAACAGAGAGGAATTTCAATTGAGACCTATGCGAACTGAGCCACGGTTCCTTCTCCCTAGTACCTGAGGGATGCCTATATGATGCATGCTCAAACATATGCTTCCTTTTATCAAGTATTTCAATTTCCAAAACTGAATGTATAATGCTGTATGAGATGATATGTTTTGCTTCGCACACACGTGACAAAATGCAGACTTATGATGTTCATGAGCATGACTAAATATCAGAATCAGAGAATCATAGTTTACAAGACTATGACTACAGAAATTCGAAGCATAGTGTGTTTCCAAGACAGAATTTCCAACAATTCATAATCCAAGTCATATTACCATTACTTTCAAACAGAATCAGATTAGGACACATGAGCAACAATTCACAAATTCATGAACTAAATTAACAGTCACAAGGGGGTAATCCACCGAACACTTACTTGGTACTTTAGAGTTCCAAACAAAATATCACCGAATTCAGTCCTCTTTCCTAGAAGCTTGCGCACCTAAACCAATAGGTACCAAGTCAGAATTTTATTTCATATCATCCTATACGTTACATAAAATTTCCATCTCTCGAAGTACTTGATTAATAATCGGATTTCAAGGCTCTTAACTAAGCTAATTTTCTGACTTAAGGGTGCTTTACCAATGGTTATCAAGTGACAAAACCAAGGTTTCTAACACATGTAGGTTCGGTTCTTTAGCCATCAACAAGGGCTTGCAATTTTCATCTACACAAGTGCCAAAATCCAAAATTCCTTATGCCTACAGGTTCGGTTTTCATCATCAACTAGGTGCTTATAAATTTATCATTTTACATAGCTCTTCTCTTATGGGCTCACGATTTTGTGGGAAAAATGAGGAGGAGGAATGTAAGCTAGTTCTTAATTTTCTTCTAGGAGGGACTCACGGCTGGGAAGGAAGATGAAGGAGCTAAATGAGATTCTGATTGGAGTGAACAAAACTCAGGTTGGTCCCCCCTTCACCATGCGCATAGATGGAAAGAGAGGGGATGATACTATGGCCTCACAATCTGAACTAAAGTCCAGCAAAGAAAAGAAACAAAAATCAGACTTATTATTTCCCTATTGTGCGCACAAGTAGAGAGGTGATGAGGGAGAGTAGTGTGTGGCTTGTTACCCAATGAGAAGACATGCATTCAGATTTTGACCAATGAGCAAACATGCATTCAGATTTTATTGAAATAGGTTAGAGATTAGCTAATAGTTTTGGGCTGACTTGGGCCGAAGCCTAAAGGGGTAGATGGGGTCCAATTTCATTTCTTCATGACCATTATTTCTTGTATTCCACTAATTATTATTTCATATACCTTCTAAGTATTACTAAGATTTTTATATGTTACGATTAAATTAATTCTATCCTTTTAACTAGGGTTTCGAATTCCTAAAATATATATATTCACCAATAATAGTAATAATTTTCTTAAATTAAATTAATTCCACCTTAAATATATATGGAATTCGAATTCAAGACATGATTTCACATTCCCAATTGCAATATATATTTTCCTAATTTATGCAGGATGTTACAATTATATTTTCAAAGAATCAAAATTATAAAAAAATCAAAAATTAATTAAATTTTTTTTTTTTAAGGTACGAGAATGAAGACCTTATTTTTTTTTGTCAGGGAGAAAAAAAAATTTTAGTCAATATAATATGGTGAGTATGGTACCTCAAGATTTTTTTAATTACAAAAATACTATTGATACGCCATTCTTTCTGACAAATAGTTAGAAAAATACAACAAATAAAATAAAAATAAAAAATAGAGAGAAAGATATTGGGAAGTGAACGTTCATGTCTATTTTTGGCCATTAATCGAGCTTGTTCCGTGCGAATGTAATATAAATATAACAGAAGAAAAGAGAAGAGAAGAAAAGCAATTACAGTAACTAACAAACAGGACTCATTCGAATAATCGAATTGAATCATCAAATCAATGAAGAAGGAAAAGGAAAAGGAAAAGGAAAAGGAAAAGGGTGTGGTGGTTTCAAGCCCCGTCAGTGGCGAAGACAGCGATGATAAGCAACATCCTTCCTTCCCCTCCGTTAGATTCTCTTCCCGCAACGCTTCCTCTAAATACGATTTCGTCAAGGTCTCACCTTTTCTCAATTTCCATAACATCATAATTGTTTTTCTTTATCACATGCACATTCGAATCTGGGTTTTCAAATATATATATTTTTTTCTCAAATACCCTCACCGGATGAACTAATTGTGAGAATTGCGATTTGAAGTCTGTTTTTTCCTTTTTGCCCCTTCCCTTGGTCAGAGGAACAGAGAATAATTTAATGTCTTTTACTTGCTTTTGTGTTTCGCTTTCTCTATATTTTTTTTTATAATGTTTTATGGGTTTTGTGCTTATAGGTAAAGGTGTGGTTGGGTGATAATGCGGACCACTACTATGTTTTATCCAGATTTTTGCTCAGTAGAATGCTAACGGTAACCAAGGTATGACATAACTACGGTTCATGCTGCTGAATCCTGGGTATTGTTTTCTTTTCTTTTCATTTAAGTTACTTTAGATGGTTAGGACTAGAATTAGATATGTTCTAATATCCAAGGGTTGGAGTCATGCCTGATGATTGAAGTGAAAAAATGCTTGTCATATTTAGGACTTATTCTACTTTCAATTTTTTTATTTAGGATTATACTTTGATTTCATCTTGCAATCTTAATTTGAGTTGGTGAAAACTAGTAAGGATGTTAGTAGCATTTATTATTAGCTTGTTGATTTCAGATTCCAAACCATGTAGCTATCAAAATTGCTCTCGAATTGAAGAAGCTGCTCATAGACAACAGCCTTTTAGATGTGTATGTCATTTTCCATCTTTTTGCTTTCTTCCTTTTCTGATGTTGGTTTTTTATATTCCTCCTCATTTGCTTTCTCCATATGAATTTTGTGACTACTAGTTTGAAATTTCCTTTTATTGTGATTCTATGCTGCAGCTCTCAGTCTGATTTGGAAGCCAACCTATTTAAGGTATGCTAATTTTTTTAGTTTGATTTGTCCAACACACAATCAATCCCACTTTTCTTGGCTTTTGGTACTTCTGCCGCTCTCTTTCAAAAGCTAACCTTTAGCTGTGATACACTTTTATTCAAGACATATGAGGAAATTTTGAACGAACTTCCTTTTTTGGCTTTTTGTGTTTGAACTCATGGTTAAGATTGAAGTTTTGTGGGCAGCTACTACTTGAAGTTTTGTGGGCATGTCTTGAATTCCTTTGGATTTTTTTCCTCCAATATTTATTTTATACAGGAAATTTGTGTATGTGTATAAAAATAATGTAGTTATTGATTCGTTGGGGTACAGATATAGATACACATTGAAATATCAAATACAAATTGCTTTTGGATGGTTTTAAAATTTAAAATCAAATGGGGCTTACATTTTTATAGGATTTTATCTCTTAATAGTATCAAGTTGGATTCCATTATGTCATTCATGGTTGGAATTCCTCACTTTTCTAAATGTTGATAGTCATTTAATCTATAAATATTTTCTAATAGAGCGCTATATGTGCAGCTTATGGAGCGGCGGGGATATGGAGTTGAGTACATAAATCGTTATAAGATGATGACAAGGTTACAATTTTTTTTTTCCCAAAACTTGTAACTGAGTGAATATCTTAACCTCTTTTTCTATCAAAAATCAAGAATTCTATCCCTGTTTCCTTCGTTTCTTAAAAGATGATGGCGGGGTTAGTGTGCATGTACGGATGCTTGTTCCTTTATGCATGTATGTATGTATGCATAGAAATTTTGCCTTTATACATGTAATTTGTATGCATGTATTAAATTTGTGTTTGTGTTGTACATGTGTATATGCACATAAATGTTGATATGTAAATATCATCTGTATGTGTCTGCAATTTTTCCTGTCTTTCTAATTGTTCTATTAAGGTGTTGAAAATTTTTCATATTGATGTTTTATGGAGAAAAGAAAAACAAATTACTTGAGGGGATATCTTTTATAGTAATAATGAGGCTATTTCTTTTTTATTTCATTTTTCTTCTCTCACCATACATCCAGATTTCACCATCAAAGGGTTCCATTAGTGATCCTTGTCTGCGGAACTGCTTGTGTTGGGAAGTCTACTATTGCCACCCAGCTTGCACAGAGGCTAAATTTGCCAAATGTATTACAGGTAGGCATCTAATGTCTCTAATATAAATTGTATATTTCTATCATAAAAAATAAGGGTGATTTCAATTAGGTGCAAGTTAACAAAAGTATTTTCATTTTGATGTATCTAACCAAATTGGATTCTTATTTTTTCTGGTTGACTGGCACCTAATAGGGGTTGTCCCTGTATTTTATTTGATTGTTTGAAATTATATACAAATGATTTTGACATTTTTCTTGTTGATTCTGATAGACAGATATGGTTTATGAATTGCTGCGCACATCAACAGAGTATGTCCTGGACTTCTTTATTTCTTTCCAACTTCTATTAGTAAAGACTAGTATTTTTGCTTTGATTGAAAGTTCTGTTAGTAAAGACAAGTATTTATTCAAGAAGTGTTATCATAAGCAGACCATGTTATGGCTACTTTAGACCTAGAATAATTTGCTTTTGAAATCAATTTTTCACAAAAAAAAAAAAAAACAGAAATTCATGGATATATATAATGTTATTATTACATAGCAAAAATCATTTTTATTAATGCAAATATTATGCTTGAATTCATGTGGTATAACTGATGTTGGTAAGATCTTGTTAATTACATTATTGGATGCTGCTTTTAGTTCTAATATCTCTGTCTAGCTCCCGGTATGTGTTCAATTCATGTAGTTCTTTTTATGCATATTATCATGGGAAATAGATGTATCATGTAGTTCTTTTTATGCATATTATCATGGGAAATAGATGTATCATGTTGTAGGAAATTGGTTGTGTCATGCTATAGACACAATCAATGTGGACCCCACCACTTTCTTTTCTTTTCTTTTTATTTTAAAATGGTGGGGTCCACATTGGTTGTGTCTATAACATGACACAACCAAAGTTCTACAACATGATACATCTATTTCCCTATTATCATTTATGTGTTGATATTTTTAAAGGTAAATGTTAAACATATTTTATTTTTCATTATTTTTATTTTGAATTTATAATTATAATTCATAAACTATAAATGTTAGTAGATGTCAGCATAGCCACCATACATGAAAGGCCTCTGGCAAACCAGAACTTTATGTTAGCATTTTCACTTTTTTGGATCGATGATTTTCATTTCTTGGATCACTGGAGTGATAATATTATGTATATTTATATATCAGATTGGAATGATTATTTTATTTTGTCTGATATAGTGCACCATTGGCATCGACTCCTGTTTGGGCCCGAGAGTTCAGTTCATCAGAGGAGTTAATAACTGAATTTTGCAGAGAATGCAGAGTTGTCCGTAAAGGTATTCTCAGTTGTTTCTAGTTTGAGATATCTATAATTTTATAAAATGGATTTGTTTATCATTATTATAAATACTATATTTTCATAGAATCATATGGATATTTTATTTCCTTAGCAATTGATTGTTTTCATTTGATAAATTGACATTTGTTTCTAGGTTTGGCTGGTGATTTAAAAAAGGCAATGAAAGATGGAAAACCAATTATAATTGAGGTATGTATAACATGTATTTAGTGGCAGATTCTGATGCACCTAGGGTTGACTTAGAATTGTGTGTGCGTCGCTTTTAGGTTTTTAGAATTATTTTTATTTCACTAGAAATATCATATTTTTGCATTTTTTTATTTTAATTATGTTTTAGTGTTATTTGACACCTTATAAAATGGTGTTTAAGACCCTATTTGTTGGTTGTTGAATTTTTTATGATTTTGATAATCTATTTAAGAACAATGTTTCTCTTTTCAAATTCCAATTTTCTTTTATAAATAGAAATGAAATGCCCAATTTTAAACTTTCCCTTTTGTTTTTGTACCAAATTTAGTTAAATGCATAATTGAAGATAATATAAGAGGAAATCATATATAGAAAAGAAAAATGATAGTTCATGTATAACTTCAGTGTCCCATAAATACATCCAATTAAATTTTGTTTTAATAATTTGATATGCCTTTTCTTGTTTATTATGAAGTCAAAATGTTTCTCTTATTGGGCTCATTTTTTCATTTTTATTTTCATAATGACAGGGAATACATTTGGATCCTAGCATTTATTTAGTTGATGATGAGCATAAATCGCCTTCTGGTGTACAGGCAGAAAATAAAGAGATAAATCCAGCATCTGTGGTATCGGATGATAATGCTTCGGTACAAGTAAAAAATATTTATGTGTGTAATGGTGATGAGAGTAATGGTGGATCAAGGATTTTGAGCTCCAACGAGGGAGTATCTGCTGATCAGTTTGATGAGGTATCAAATTCTATGACATCCATGGACTTACTTGGAAGCATCTCTGGACATAAAGGTTGGTTTCTACTATTTGTCATATCTTAATGCTGTTTAGTTCTATTCTAAGAAATAAGCCATAATATGCATAAAATAGGCATTGTTTCAATTTGAATTTAATGAAAAACTAGTTTGTCATGCAGGTGCTTCCCTTAGAGAACTGGAGACAGATAGACCTACTGTTAGTAAGGAGAAGTCAGGTCCCAAACCAATAATTGTGCCTATTGTTTTGAAGATGGCTGAATTTGATCATAAGGTTTTGTCTCATTGTCCATTATTTTTATGAAAGTAACAATTTTATGCATAAGTGGTTCTTGTTTACACTTGTAGCATGTCCAACTTTGGAAATTTATTTGATTGTCCAATGGTACAGCCAGGTCCTGTTTGTATCTCTAGGATGTTCCATCATTTACTTGTAACTTTTAAGTCAAATAATCTAGTAAGACTTCTCTTATCTTATTTGCAGGCATTACTTGAGGAGTGGATCTCCACTCGTACATATAATGATAAATGCACAGATCAGGTACAGTAAATTATAAACTTCAACCAACCACCCCAGGCCTTTGTGTTTTTGGCTACTTTGTGCTTTCTGCATTTCAGTTTGTAAGGGAATTTATGAGAGCTATGGAAATGAAGTCATTTAGTGATTTATTCTTTCGGAATCCTTTAAAAGGACCAAAACTATAGTAGCATAATGAAGCCAAAGAAATCATCTTGTAAAACAAGTCAATAAGGACTGATACAGTGATTCAGGACAAACCACTTTTAATAATAATACTAAAAAGATTCAAGTAATCTGCTTCAATATACCATGCAACTAAGCAATGCAAAGGCATCAGTCTTCATATTTTTGTCAAAACAATTTTTGCATAGATCTGAATAAGGTCTCCGCATTTGCAACATATCATTGGTGCTAACCTTGTTGAGAAAGATATCTATACCACAATTAAGTAAAGAATCTTAGCTTTAGATATGATTAGCAAGAGGAAAATGATTGGAATTAAGTAGATGAACAAGAAGTGGTAGGTTGATTAACAAAAGGATTCCCAGTTATGCAATGTCTTAACAAAGAGATGCAGAAAGAATAAAGGATAGAATAAATGATATTGACGCAGAAAGAATAAAGGATATTCAGTTGCAGGTTGTGATCCATGGTTGCTATATCATGTAGATTCTTGTGAATATAGACATTCTGCCTATGCATGACCAATCACCAACTTTATGCTAAATTGATTAATTGGGGATACAAAATTAATCTGCTTGAGAAATGAATTTTGAGGGCTTGCAGAACTTATCCCTTTTTCTGTGCCCTCCTGATTTTGTCGAAGTTAATGTTTCCAATCATTTTATAGAGGAATAGATTTCGAGAGAGAAAAGATGCTAAGAAGGAGTGCAATTACGAGGATAAGGAAACCGAGCCGAAAAAAAAGAAAAGACAATAAAAGAAAGAGTGAAAGAGGAAAACACATTAAAACAACTAGGCCTGCCAATTTTGTTGTGAACAGACATTTGAGACACCTCCCAAAAGAGCCAGAGCAAGAACCATTATGAGTCCACATAAACTAATATAAAATTGGGATTAAATCTTTCTCAGCTGTTTTCTGAATTTTGTTGTTCAATTTACAGGATAATGATAAACTTATAGCCAACTTGAAAACCATACAGGATTATCTGTGCTCGTTCACATCACAGGTATGTCCAAAAAAATACACTTTTTTTCCTGGATGTATTTAGTTTGATGATTATCGACACAATTGCTTGATTCTTTTTCAATTCAAATTGTTATATGTGTACTACCTGGTTCGAAGTTTTATTCCATGTTTCCATGGTGAATTGTTTCCTTTTATTAACTAACTAATGTGAAACAGTTGATAAGAAATCTTATTCACTGATTGTAGTGTTACCTAAAGCCTTACTGAGTTTTAGATTGAGGTTTTGATCATATGACATTATTGTTCATGCTTAAAATTTTACCATTTTATGTTACAGGGGTTGACTGTGGTCAATGTATCAGCGACAACATTTCCTCAGACATTGGATTGGCTGCATAACCACCTTCTTCAGGTATATATGTGTACATATAATTTGACTGTAAAAAGTGGATTATATATGACATTTATATTTTGGTACATCTTACAGTCAATACTGCTTTATGCTTGACGTAAGAAAGTTTATTAGAAGAGAGAAAGGAGTGCAGAGAAAGAGGAGGATTCCTATACCAAAATGTTGAAGAAATAGAATAATGACACAATGAAAACAATCAAAATTTATTAATAAATAAGTGACTCATATCCCTTCATATCTATGTCACCAACTTATTTTGAAAGAATGAAACCTTCAGACATTCTTATCTGGTGATGGTAGCATGAAAGGACTGAAGCTGGCCTGAGTTTAACTGTTCTTGTTCTACTGACAGTATGTGGCATTTTTTCTTTACCTATTAAAATTTGTCTTGGACGAGTTTTGGAGCAACTGTATGGTTGCTCCTTCAAGGGTTCGAATTTGGAAAACAGATTTTTTGCAAAAATGTAAGAGGAAGGTTGCATACAATCAACCCTCACTTCTACTCGCACAAGTCAAGGAGCCTTATGCATTGAGTTTGCTTCTATTAAAATTTGTCTCTCCCCCTCAAACAGGAGTTGCACCAATTATATTTTTTTGACATTGTAGATTACTCCTATATTCATTTTATTTAGAAATGACTTAATTTAATTTTTTTCAGTGCATCGAGCAAGGTATATCATTAGGGTCATCTGAAAATGTTACCCAAGTAGCTGCAGCATAGTTCATGTAATGTTTTCAATTTTGACAGGTATGAAATTGCCATTAAGGTTTACTTCTTCTTCTTTTTATTTTTTTTTATTAAGTCTTAGTATTTGGTGCACTTTGGATGTTATTGATTAAAGTGTCAATGGTTCAGATATTTTAGTTTGCCATGTATCATCATTTCAATCATACGAGCTGTTTACTTTTTCATAAGAAGGTTATTGAAGTGTATTTAGAGCCTGTTTGGCACTTTTCTTTTTCTTTTGGCTAAAATATAAGTTACTCCCTTGAACTTTGACCATGTTTCAAATTACCTCCTTGTACTTTTAATTGTTTCAATTAACCCCCATACTTTATAATTGTTTCAAATTAACAATTCTGTTAAAAATTTTACAAACACTGTTAAGTCTCATATCTCTTGAAACCTCCTCATATGCCAGTAAATGTAGATAAATCCCTTAACACAATGAATTTTACTTTGGTAAAGAGAATATGCAGAATGAATCAGGCGACGTCAAGATTCCAAGAATGCATCAACCATTGCATTTGCTGCTCTGGACAAAATTTTCATGCGGATAGGTGGCTTCACTCCTGCCAGGGCCATAAATGAGCTAGGTAGTGTCTAGATTCCATCCCCACATATCAAACCAGAAGCCACAGCTGATGCAAATGTATTAGCATTAGCCTTGTCAAGCTTCCGCCAGATAAATAAGATCAAGCTTCCAAGACATATATCAATGGCAAAGTAACTTCCAATATAAAAGGGTATAGCCATGGCCATAGGAACAGGAATAAATCTAGCCCACTTGTTTCCAACCAGATCTCGAATAAGATTGATAACTATGGCTCCAACAAAAATTACACCTCAAAGGATGAGGCAGTATCTTGGCAGAGCTGAGAAGCCATCAACCCCCGATATTGCAATTGAGGAGGTTTTTGACATTTGGGACTTAGGGCATGTGGGAGGTTTAACAGTGTTTGTAGAATTTTTAACTGAATTGTTGATTTGAAAAGATTATAAATTACATGGGGTTAATCGAAACAATTAAAAGTACAAGAGGGTAATTTGAAACATGGTCAAAGTTCAAGGGGGTAATTTATATTTTAGCCTTTTCTTTTTAAGGTAAAAGCTACTTTTAAGCTAAAGTTAAAAAAAAAAGCTTAAAAAAAAAAGCTAAAAGCTGTTTGGTGATTATATAAAGTTGTTTTGAGGGTTTTGAAGGAGAGAAGATGAAATAATTTATTATTAGGATGGATTATTAAGGTAAAGAGTAAAATTGATAAATACAAATTTAGAATAAGTGTGAAACTAGAAAATAAGTATAAGAAATCTAAAAAGCTATTATATATATATATTAAAAAAATCTCATCTTAAGAGCTTTTAGCTTGTTGAGATATATAGTCCCACATTGGTTGTATGAGCAACTAATGTGAAGTTTATAAGGCCTTGGGCACTCCCACCATTTGTGCTAGCTTTTGGGTGGTGTATCCCAAGGTTCTTTACATGGTATCAGAGCCTCGTGTCTCGGGTTCGATCCTCGCCGCTCCCCCACTTTCTTTCAAGTGGAATTTCTTGTTAGCACAGGTAGGCTGGGCCTGTTGCATTGTCCACTCTTCAAGCCCAATGGGCTCTTGTGTGAGGGGGCGTGTTGAGATATATAGTCCCACATTGGTTGTATGAGCAACTAACATACAACCAATGTGAAGTTTATAAGGCCTTGGGCACTCCCACCATTTGAGCTAGCTTTTGGGGTGGTGTATCCTAAGATTCTTTACATAGCTTTTGCTTATTTTATTTATTATAATAAAAATCTCTTTTTATAATTAAAGCTTTTGTAAAAACATGTTTGGCTAAACTTCTGTGTATAAGGAGAAAAGAAACTAAAAATAAGACCTCTCAAATATGCACTTACTTGAAATTGCATCCCTAGTGACATGAGAGCGGATTTTTACAACTGTAGTACTGTACATTGTACAAGTATGCATGGGAGCGAGTGTTTGAAACTCAAATTTACTTTTAGTTTTTGGTTATATCTTATCAAATTCCTTGCTATTTCTTTCCTTTTTTGGCCATAAATTTCCTACTAGTTCAATCATTTCAATTTTAGCCACCACCTTGCCCCAAAAGAATGCAATTCTGGTTCCATCCTTGAATTCTGCAGGGTCATAAATTGTCCATTTATGAATTTTACCTTTTTTGATTAAACTATATTGGAGAATTATTTTCTCATTTATTTGGCAATAATTCAGTGATGGTTTCTAGATTCAACTTCACGTTGAAAGTGGATGATGCTGGAAGATAAGTTATGAAATAAAGAAGGAAACTAGTCTGTTCATGTAAGATGCTGACTCTGCCAAGCCCCTGTTCAAAGCTATCTGCTCAACTCATCGCTGGCCTCATTATGGGCTGAATATCTCATTTTGTGAGTAGATATGATGGCTTGGAGAAAGAAAGAAGCATGCATGCCATCATAAAATTTGTAATTATTGGGTTATCAACATTTGCAAATGAAATTATTGTATGATTATGCGTTTTGGTGGGGAATCTCATACTACATTGCATTATGAGTGCCCCAAAAGAGGAATATCATAGCTATTTAATCTTTTTAAGATTACACATCGAGGGGTATACGTTTTGCCAGGCCTAATCCCTTGATACGGTGTTTGATGGCTTTTCCATCTTAAATTTATTTACCCGAAAAATATATTTGGAGATGCCTAAAATCAAAATTTGATTATCATGAAACCCTTTTGCTGCAAGTAGTCATTTTCTTTTTCTTTTTGATACTTGTTTATTATACATTAACAATTGACGGTGTCTGTTCACCGGTTAAGGTAATATAAATCATTCATTACAAGTAGCATAGATAAAAAAAAGAGAGGGTTGATGCGCATGTCTGATAACCGATGTAATCAAAACCAATGACTTGAATTAAGCCCTGTTATTATTGGGTGCAAATCCAGCTTGAAATGTGCTCTTAGTCTAATATATTAGATAGTAGAATGGGACCGGGAAGAAAGTAAGTCGTATGTACGGCTTGGAGGGAGATTTTTCATATCTTTCGAGATCCACCCTACAATATGACAATCATCTTAGTTCTCTACTCAAGCTTATTAACATCTGGCTTCAGGGTTTTTCACATCAAGAACATCCACAAAGTATGATGTCCCCGGTCCATTTGAATTTGATTATGCAATTTGCATATGAACCCGTATGGTTTTATTTATTTATTTGAAAGTTATTTTTCATTTGAAAAAAAAATCTCAACTCAATGGCTGTTGTCCGAACTCACAGACCTAAATAACAAGCATGTTTGCAACCGTTATATAGCTCTTTCTTGTTTTTGTCACTTGCACATTTTTTCTCTTCTCTTTTTCATTTTTTGTTTTTGTTTTTTGGGTTTCAAAATACACTGTCCAAAAAGGTTTTGGATGATCATTTCCTCCGATCTAGCGATTGTAAATCATGGTATATTCAACATCAATAATATAATGTATTTGTTCGTATTTCGTTTCTCATGCGATCCCGTAATAATCAATAGTTAGATTTGGAGTTCCGTACTTAAAAATATAAATTGCAGAGAAAGAAAGAGAAATGCCATACCATTAATAAGCAACAGAATTAAATGAATTACAACATTATCTAAGGCTTCAAATTTCATCATCCCAAAGTTCTTCAATTGTTTTATAGGGACTTGTGGTTTCGTTCACGTGAAATTCCCCTCTCATAATCTTCATTTCCTCCAATCTCTCAATCTCCAAGATATCTTCATCATCCAATTTCAAATCAAATGATCCTATATTTTCTTTCATTCTTTCTTGACTGAAGCTCTTCACAATCACACTTGAGCCTTTTGATAGTCCCCATTGCAATGCAACCTTAAAAAGTAAACGTGAAAACGTTTATTAAAAAATGGGTTCGTTTTTTCTACAGTAGATAACTTGTCTACATTGAGCCCAAAACGATGTCGTTTTGAGGCGGAAATTAATGTATTTTTGTAATTATAATTTATTTCAAGGTTATAATAGTCTTTTTTATTATAATTTCTTAATTTTTCAACTCAAAACGACGTTGTTTTAGCAGTGAACGTAGATAACTTATCTTCTATAAACATTAAACCCTTAAAAAATATATATACACGCAGCTTTTCAATCTACTAATGATAAAATTCAAATATTACATGTATCAATTGTAGTATTAAAAAATGCTTTGGACTTAAAGGAGTTATACCTGTGCAGGAGTTGCTTTGTGTTTGAGGGCAATTGATTGAATGATTGGATGATTAACAACTGCTGTGGATCCCCATGCATTCCCTGGCCCACCAAGAGGTGAATAGGCACTTACATGGATCTTGTGGTCCCCACAGGTCTCTCTGAGCTTTCCTTGCCTCCACATTGGATGCATTTCCACCTAAGTACCAAGATTGAGTTAATTAAATTATGGAAAAAACTATTATTATGTTGTATAAAAGTAGTTTTATCTCTAATAGATTCATCGAAAATCGTGATATTCTTTTTTCTTTTTTTTAATGGCGGACTCCACCACATGTGAGTCTACAATGTGAGAGATCTTCTCTCATGCAACATGAGATTAAATGCACCCTTAAATTGTTGTAATGTGTCAATAAATAGTACAGATACTCTTTTCAAGATTTATTAGTCTATATTTACCTGATTAACAGCTGGAGGTGTAGAAGCAAAATCTAATAGCCACTCAATCTTCTTGCTAGAGAAATTGCTAACCCCAATGCACTTACACAACCCCATTTCTAGGCATTTTTCCATCCCTTCCCATGTGGTCTCAAGATCCAACTTTTCAAAGTCATCTTCCTTAGGCACAGGGTAGTTAACCCATGGTTTCAACTTCACTGGCCAGTGCACTAGGTACATGTCCAGATATTCCATGCCAAGATTCCTGTTTATCATTCAAGTCAAGAAAACAACAAAATCAATATTAGATTCCCAACACTGATTTTGTTTCCATCCTTCGAAATTGAGTAATTAGTCTCATGATATTAAAAAGATAATGTCACATCAAATTGGGATGCATATGGTTTTCACTCATTCTGGACCACAAGCATACTCTATCTTTTTTTTTTTGTTATCCCATGAGATTTTGATTTTGGTAATGATACACCACATGCATTATACGTTATTTTCTTTCAATTACGTTAGAAGAATCATGAAAAGGCAAATGTTAAGATACGGGAGTATCTAGCCAAGGCATGCAATTTACATTTTTTGTTTTTTTTTTTTTTTTTTTTTTTTTTTTTTTGAGGAAAGTGAACAAAGGATTCCATGTGCTTACTCTAGAGTATGTTTCAATGCAGAAACAGGATCGTTGTGATCACTCCCCCACAGTTTGGATGTCAAGAAAATATCTTCTCTGTCTACTTCTCCAAAGCATATTGCTTCATTTATGGCTTTTCCCACTGCTGGCTCAGAACCATATATTTTTGCTGTATCAAAATGCCTATAACCCATCTGCATTTAATATACATATACATATACATGAGTAACAATATACATATACATATACAAATATAGTAATTAACATATATTAATTACTATAACAAACATGCAATATATATATATGGTTAATTAGTACTTATAATAAGTACCTCAAGGGCATTGTGGATGGCAAGTTCTGTTGTCTTCCTATCATTTGGGAAGGAATAAGTGCCAAATCCAATGAGAGGCAATGTAATGCCACAGTTCAAACGCACATGATTGCTCCTCATTCTGTTCTGTCTGTCTTTTTCTTTGTATGTGTGTGTTTCTTAGCTAATTCTATTTTTTTGCCACTGTGCTAATATGTCTCTAACTTTGGCTATATATAGATTCTCCAAGTCAAGAGTCAAGACAGATACTAACTAGTTAGTTTATAAATTTAAAGTTTTTATGAGCATATATAGATTAATCATATGTCTAACAGACGTGGAAGAGTTAAAATCAATTATTGAGGAATGCAAATCAAAGCAAGGGATCTTCCCTGTTTCTAGGGATTTTATTAAATGGCCAATCCATCATCCAAAAGCAAACATCTTTGGGCATTAGTCCCTCAAATGAAGTCAATATATTAATATCAAATTATGATAACGTGTATAGTTTGAAGGTCGGTCAGTGAGCTGGCACTTCAACCATTTCATTATTCTTCCAATGCCCAAAGTCCTTTCTCTATATATAAATCTCTGATAATAAAACCATTTATAAATGCACTTTCAAGCTTGTGGGTGCATCAAACTCAACTCAACTTTCTTCAACGGGTTTTGTAGGCAACCAATTAATATGTAAAAAAAAAAAAAAAAAAAGATGGAGAATGATCCGTTTATAAATATTTTTACAAATTACACTATGTTCTCCCCGGAGAACGTAGTCAAACTAGTGTTCTCCCGAGAGAACATAGTGTAGTTTGTAAACAAAAAAGTTTGTAAATATAACCTGCCCGTTAAAGAAATAAACTATTTTTTGACATGCAAAATTGTCAAAGCAAGGGATGGATATTTTATTCACTTAACAAAGTCATCAATAGAATAATTTTTTTAATAAAAAAATACGTATTTTCTTTTATGTGTTATAGTTCAAACTTTATTTTATGTATGATCTCTTTTGAAGTTGACTATATAAGTACATTAAGATTTATATATGTTTCTGTTGCTTAGCACTATCTCAAACATGCTTAAATTAATGAACGACTTCCAGTTAACCTTAGTCTTGATTCTCTTGAAAGACACAATAGTGCAGGAACCCTTAATCAGAAATGTAGATGAATAAATCCATCATGCTTGTCCATAGTTTTAAAAATAGCTTAATTAATGTTTATTTAATAATTAACTGAACAATATTTAGAAATTTAAAATCAGTTATTAAATAAGACAAGTTTAAGTGTAACATATTCATATGTGTCTGTTAATTACTCACATTTTTCATTTCATTAAAATAAAATAAATAAATAATAATGAACAGTGTTTGAAGTGAATTACAATAATTACAATGAAAGTTTAGAAGTATTTGAAGACAACTCTAGTTGTAGATTAAAAATATATATATTTACAATTTATCTTTTTCATTTTTTTTAATTTATTAAATGTGTAATTAATTAACAATGGCATACATGAAGTGGTAGTATGTATTTAAATTTTAAGTTTGATAAAATTGAATATAATAGAACATGCCAGCTAATTTAGTTGATAAAGTTCTTAGTAGATGAATGTAAGGATTTGGAACGTGTGTATGAGTTAATTGCAGGTTTTCCAAATTAGTTCTATCTTTGACAAATAAAAAAATTCAATATAATAACAAAGTATTTTTCAATTATCATGCGTGAATATTGTGAAATGAAGAATATTATACATTTGTTACTGAAGTAATAAATAAGTTAGAAAATTGATCAATTAGCTAGTATTTAAATTTATCCATACATATTCATCGTTTATGATTATTTATTTTATTTTCTGCTTAAAAACAAAGTTTAAAAGATTATATAACAGGTGAGGGTCTCTAGTTAATGAATTAATATGAAAGCAATATATGTGGAACACACACATATATAAGACTTTATACCGGTAATTTTGAGAAAAAAATTGTACTTATATAATGCTATTCACTTCTCCCTGTGCTCCTCACACTGCTCCGTTATTGATGTTAGTTTCAAAATACATTTACTAATAAGCCCAATTATATCTAGTCTTATTTATTTTTTTGGTAAAAAAATAAAAATAAAAAAAGCAATTCAATTGTTGTGTTTTCTTTAACGGAAAATTGTAACAATAAAAAAAATCACGAGACTATGTGTTATTGTTTGAACTGAACTAATTTATGCCATTGCTTCATTTAATCATAAACTGATCCATTGATTTCTTTGTGGAAGAGACTTTTATTTAGTTCAAGTTTCGGTGGTACGTTGACGTTGAAGACATTCAATAATATTAAGTACACCGCCACAATAAGTGTTAGAATGATAAAATCATGTCATGTGAGACCAAAGATTTGTTGTTCTATGAATGTCAGGGGCATACACCTCACAAGTTTTTTTTGCAAGTTTTCTTTCAAATTTTAGTTTTAGGGTCAACCTTTTTTAATAATGATTTATCTTAGTCAACCTCTGTGTGGACCTTTATATCCATAAATGTTTCTCAAGTCTTATAAATGCATCACACTTCCATTGGTGGCAAAATCTTTGTGGACGGCCACGACCTCTTAGGTGTGAGCTGTGGTCTGTGGGGGTGACTTAAAACTATACACCAAGTGGTACCGCCCTAAGACAAACACATTGTTTGTGTTTTGTTTAGTTTCATTTACTTTTGGTTTCAACAGAGAAGGTTCCCTATGGTTTGGGTTTCTGATTACAATCCAAAAAATATGGGATTAGAAATCCAAAATCTTAAGTAGCTTTTACTTAAGGAAAAGTGAAATTTTAATATGGGTTTGACTTCAGTTGCGAAGTATAAAATTAAAATAAACTATATAGTAATTTTAAGAGAAAAGTTCACTAATGTCCCTGTGGTTTGCTTCAGAATCACCTGTGCTTCTGTGATTTTTTTTTTATCACATATACCCCTGTGGTTTGCAAAAGAGTATTTTTTTTTATTATATATGCCCCTGTAATTTTTTATTTTTTACAAAACACAGGGGTATATGTGATAAAAAAAACTATAGGGACATAAATGATTCTGAAGTAAACCACAGGTACATTTATGAACTTTTCCAAAATTTTAAGGAAAAGATATTTAATACAGTACGTTATAAATGTACTTCCGTGCACCGTCATAATATACATACCATGGCATTTTCATGATTTTTGCCATGTGAATTAGATACTTTCTCCTTGTTTTTAGTGTGTTAGGGTATAAATCTGACAAGAAGATGTCTAGCTTGTCATATCCATTAGTAAAATCTTCATTCTTATTTGCTTGATACTGTAAATCATTTATCGATATTGAGGATCATCTTGGAATACTTAGCCGGATAAGCATAATCAACAAAAATATATGGGACTTAAATTTTTTTTTCTCTCTTTTTTTTTTACATGTCAGCCCCACACACTTGTGTACATAGACGATAAATTTATCTCTTATAACATGAGAAACATTAAACCCACACACACATATATATATGGAAAAATATTTCTGCAGTTATTATAGATAAGTTATTTGCATTTACTCCCAAAACGACGTCGTTTTAGAATTGAAAGATTACAAAATTATAATTATAAAGACTATAATAACCTTGAAATATATTAAAATTATAAAAATACCATGATTTCTGCCCCAAAACGACGTCGTATTGGGCTTATTGTAGATAACTTATCTGCAGTGACTGCAGAAAAAGCGAACCCATATATATATATATATATATATAGGGGCAGGATCCTTTGATCATCGACATCAAATTTTGAAATTTGACACCAAATTCTAACTGTTGATATCTTCCTATCAACAGTTATTATTTATTGATAATTAATAATTGATTAATAAGTTTAATTCCCAATAAATGATAATCGTTGATCGGCGGAAATCAGCGGTTAGGATTTGATGTCAAATTTTAAAATTTGACACCTATGTCAAATCATCCTATCCATCCTATCCCATATATATATATATAGGGAAGATTATATTTACAACCTATTTTCGTTTACAACTTTTTACAATCATATCTTAACCGTTGATTTCCGTCAATCAACGGTTAAGATTTTCGCAAATCAAATTTATTAATTAATTATTAATTCACAATAAATGACAACCGTTGATTGACGGAAATCAATGATTAAGATATGGCTGTAAGAGTTTGTAAACTACTTGGGTTGTAAATATAACCCCTCCCTATATATATATATGAGGTAGGATCATTAATGGCTCTTAGATGAGGTGTCAAATGATACTACCTCTATATATATATATATGAGATAGATTATTCTGCCTACTTTTATTTTGTCTACCCTTTCAATACCGTTCGATTACAATCACATCCAACGATAAATATTTGAAAAATAAAATATACTCGTTTTTTCCTTCTTTTCTCCTCATTTTCTACCACACATTTTCTCTCTCTTCCCTGTCGATCACAGAAATTCAAAACATCAAATTGACACAATATGAGCCAACAACCAGGTCAAAGTTGGATAAAAAACAAAAAACAAAAATTTCAAAAGTCAGAGCAAATTTTTTTTAAAGTTTCATCAGGAAGAATCACTTATTATCTTTGTAGAGAAAAACAAGTTGGTAAAGTAACTATTCTAGCCAAAAAGAACCATGCTCCCCTTTTATAAGAAAGTATATAACAAGTTGGTAAATAACAAGTGAGATTTTTTAATTGATGGTCGTGGATCGTATTCTATTTTTCGTTCTTGTTCGATCGAGCATTTGTTTTTTTGTCTTGGAGGAAGTGATATTCATTGTCGAAATTTTCAGTATGAGTAGCCTAGGAAGAGAAAAAAGGGAGGAGAGAGAAAATGTGTGATAGAAAATGAGGAGAAAGAAAGGAAAAAAATGGTATATTTTATTTTGCAAATATCTACCGTCGAATGAGATTGTAATCGAACAGTATTGAAAATGAGTAGGCAAAAGTAGACAAAATAAGAGCAGCAAGAATAACTTATCCCTATATATATATATATATATATTAAATGTGTTCTTGATTCATTTAATAACAGTATTAGTCTCTTAATGTTCACGTGCAATGTTGGTTCCTCCTCGAATCAAATTTTAACTGTTAACTGTTTAACATTCGTTGAGGTGGATAGATGGTTGCTGTG